GCCTCAAAAACTTAGACTCTCCTGGGTTTTCTAATAGAAAATGTAAATCGACCCAGGTTCTGTTTTTGAGAGTCTGACATGCAGACCCGGAGTCTCAGTGGTCACGGCGGTTCTGGCGACTCCTTGCACGGAGGGGCTGTGCCGGCCCCGCCCCCGGTGGAGTCACAGGCGGCACCCAGGTGGGGTGGAGGGGCGCAGATCCACCGGTAGGGACAGAGACCCCCTGGGAGCAGCCTTGCTGACCCTCATTTCCTGTCCTGCTGCTTACTGAAAGAGTGGCTGCAGGCACATTACCCTGTTTCTTAGTTTCTGAATTCTTGTTGCCAAATGCAGGGATTTCTTCTAACCGGATTCCAGTTCTCCCTCCTCAGACCTGCCACCTTTACCGTCCCCTAACGTGCCCACCGGCACCCCTACCCTGTCATGTTACGTCGTCGCTTCTGTAGCTAGGTGAGGTTGGAATGGACCATGACATTCCCCACGATCTTGCCTGAAAGTTGTAATTTCTAGGACTCCTTGAGTGACTTCCTGTACTACGCTGAGCCTAAGTGTAGACACTGCTGAGTTCAGAGACGGCCCCTCACGTGCACTTAATACATTCAGTGGCTGGATCCACGAATCCACTGAACTTGGAAGTGACGGCCACCACGGCTGTTTACAAAGAGCTTTATGGTTGGTGGTGGCCTCTTACCCATCTGTCACTGCGTACACCACGTTGTAATGTTTTGTGACTTAGGCACCTGCACTGGGGAGGGTGGACATGTCTCAGCTCACGCAGGAAAGGGTGCCGAGCTGTCCCGGGGACCTCCCGAAGCTTTGCTCGTGGCTTCAGAGCAAGATAACGGCTGTCCTCTGTCTGCTCTCAGTGTTCCTGTGCGTTCAGAATTTTTGTCATCACGCCATGTATGCCGTTCTTAGAGCTTTCTCAGATTTATCTCCTTTCCTCATTACGCCTACTCCATGGAGGACTTTCCAGGAGTTCGTTGTGTGTTGGGAGAGGTGGTCCTGAAGCACAACTGGTGGCTGATGACCAGACGGCCTGCAGGCGTGGATGAGGGCCGTGTGGCCACGATGCCACCACACTCAGCCCCTTGGCCTCATGGAGAGGGGACTCCACTGGGGTGTAGGGGAGCAGAGACACGCTGAGGGAGTGTTTCTGAAATGCTCGTTAATTGTTGCGTTTAGGACGGTTTTCTTTACTGTTAGGGTTATTTGTGGAAGTAGTTACTAGATTATAGGAGTAATTACTTGTAAAATAACCGAGCCACACACAGTGTGCCATGTAGGTTACGGAGGACCCTCCGTGACATTCTTAGGGGTGGCCTTTGTCTGCCCAGACATGTTAGACATTATTTAGAAGTTAAAAAGGGGACTTCAGTTGCACACTTGGTTTTAACCACTTTTTAAATGGAGAGTTCATTTTTTTTCATTGAACCCAAGCTTTGTGTCAGCAGTGACAATGGGCTAAGGCTCGGATCGGGAGGGACGCACGCCTGCAGTTAGTGTCTGTTCATGGGTGTGTGCGTGTGCAAAAGCCACTCAGATATCCACACAGAAGACGCACACACTCACAAAGATGCATGCAGTCACACACACACACACACACACACACACACACACACACACACACACACGGCCGCCTCCCAGCATTACTGAAGAGCAGCGGTTTTCACCTTGCTTCACCTGGAGAGATTATTAAAATGTAGACCACCAGCCCCGCCCCCAGAGTTTCTGAGTCTGTGGACTTGGGGTGGAGCCCAGATTTTGCTTTTCTAACAAGTTCCCAGGTGATGTTGTTACTGCTGATCAGGGGACACCACTGAGAACACTGCTTAAGAGAATCGTCACCCGTCTTGATACTTCCTTCGGGGTGGGAACTCACTCAGGTGAAAAGCAGCCCCACACTTTGCGTTCGTGACTTTGAATTTGGGGCTTGTATTTAAAATGACTCTTGGTTTCCCTGTCCGTGGTCTTCACTCCCTCGGCTGTCTCTACAGGTTGGGGTCACATGGCCTCTTACTTTTCCATTGCTCTGAGGACCACCGTCTCGGGGGTGACCTGGACGTGTGCCCGTGTAAATGATGAGCGTGTAAACATTTTTTTCCTCTATCTTCTTCAGAGTGGGTAATTCCTAGTGTTAGGCTCTCACGTTCACCCCCCCTTTTTTTCCTATAATCAACATGGTGTCAAACCCATGTGGTGAGTTTTTCATTTCAGCTGTTGTGTTCTTCAGTTCTGCAATCTAGTTTGATTCTTTTAAAAAACCATTGTAACTTCTCTGCTAAGGTTCTCCTCTTGTTGGGAAAGGGGGCCTTCTGTTGGCAGTCCACCTGGGCTGGCTGGCTATGGGGTCTTTTTCAGGTCGTCAGGCCGACAGAGAGGGGAACTGGTTGTAAAATATCCCCTTTAACCTAGGCCAGTGCTGTCCCAAAGAATTAGGATGTGATGCACATGAGGAATTTTAAATTTTCTGATACTTTCACTAAAAAATTAGCAGTGAACAGGTTAATTTTACTAGGACGTTATTTAACTCCTGTGTATCCAACATACTCATATTTCAACACGTCACCAATATCCATGTTTTGTCAGTGACAAGAGTTACTGGTAAATTCTGTTTTTCAGATGAGGTGCTTGCAAGCTGCCAGCACGTCGGGATTGGGACTGGCCGCTCAGCAGTTCTGGGGGCTGCTGTGCCCGCGGCACCTCCCTGCCCTCACTCCACAAGGTTTGGCAGCACCGACTACAGACCTGGGGGGTTTGTGCACCTCAGGGACCAGTTCGTAGCCTTTCTCGCCATCTGCTTGGGTTTAATTGTAAGTGGCCAAGTCCTTCATCCGCATCAGAGGGCTGCCTTCTCGTCCCCAAGTTGTTTTTGCTGTTGGCTCCCCTCTGGCAGTTGAGATTTATGGGGAGCAGGAGGCAGAGCTGGGGGTGCTCCAGCCGGGGCCTTCACTCTGGACTTGAAGCTTGGTTCTTGATTTGAGGCCCTGTTCCCGCTGTGGGTTGGCGCGCAGCCCGGCGTGCCAGGAAGCTTTGCTCTGGTGTTGGCCCAGGCATCTGTTCAATTCTGTGTCACCCCGAGCTTGTTATGTTCAAGGTGAGAGTTTGTCCCAGCCCCGGGGCTTACACTGTGGGCTGGGCTATTTCCTCTGAGTAGCTGATCCCGGTTTGTACTGGAAACCTGTCTCCCTCCAGCCTGTCCTCACAGCCCTGCCCCCAGCGTCCTGACCTTCAGCACCTCCCCCAGGGGAACCAGGTGCCAGGTTCTGAATCTGATGTGAATTCTCATTTGTTTACAAGCGGGCATGGCAGCGCAGGGGGGCAGTGTTCCCCGGAGAGCATGTTGTGTTGGTGGATGACAGGAATTGTCAGAGAAGGCAAACCTGGGGAGGGGTTGGGACCTCAGGGGGAGGTCGGCCATGGACGTCTGGGTGGGCGGAGGGGCCCCCTACCGAGGACTAGACTCTAGGAAGAAGCCAGACACGGCGAATGGCAGTGACTCAAACACACATTTTGGAGAAGGCTCTTATCGCGTCATAAACTAGAGCCAATTCTATAAATCATGTATGATTATTAAATGGACTCAGAATAACCAGATTCCTGAAAAGATTATGAACATTAAACAGTGAGTGTCACAGGAGAAACATCCACTCATGATTTGGACCAGATGCTGCCCAGGGTCCCCACGTTGGTGTCCTGGGGCTGCCGACGAGACAAAGCGCCGCAGTCGGGCATCTTAAGCAGAAATGTTATCTCAGCCCTGGAGCTGGAAACGCGAGATCAAGGGTTTGGCAGGGCTGGTTTCCTCCGAGCCCTGAGGAAGGATCCGTTCCATCTGTCCCAGCTTCTGGTGCTTTGCCGGCAGTTCTCGCCATCTCTTGGTTTGAGGCAGAGTAAGTCCAGCCTTCACGGGGCGTCCTCCCTCAGTGCCTATCTACAAATTTCCCCTCTTTGTAAGGACATGAGTCCTATTGGATCAGGGCCCACCCTACTGACCTCATTCTAACTTGGACAGCTCTGTAAAGACTCTGTCTCCAAATAAGGCCACAATCTGAGGCCCTGGGGGCAGGACCGACTTCACCATAAGAATTTGGGGTACACACGGTTCAACCCGTAATTATCCCTATTGGACTTATGTTGGAAGGGGTTGGACCTATGAGTAAGGAATTTTAATTTGTTTAGGACTCTTTGATAAAGAAGATGGTCTTTCTGTTTGTTTTCAACGACGTTTATACTAGTTGAATGTATAGATTTTAATTTAAGCTGGAGGAGGGCAAGCCAGGCATTGCCGCGTGCCTTTGTCCCTGGACTCGTCACCCCCACTCAGAGCCCCCAACTCGCCCGGCCCGAGGGAGGCTCCGCTGGGCCGGCTGGCAGCTTGGCGTCGGTGTGGATGCTGCCATGCGCCCTGGTCTGTCCCAGGCCGTTCAGCTCTTCCCTTTGTCCCTGCAAAAACAGACAACTGGTCTACCCAAAATACCTGGTCAGAAGCAGTAGGTTGTGGTCCGTGCCATCGGCCTTATTTTCCCACTCGCGTGCTGATTGAGCTGTGTGGTCTGAGACCTTCAGGGTAAACGTCCTCACTGAGAAAACATCATAGGTTGTTAGCTGGTAAACAACCAAATTCCAGCTCATGAAATTACAGGAGTGAGCTCTGAAGTGTTCACACAATTGCACAGCCCTGTGTCCCTCTTTTTGAATAGGTGCAAATTGAAGCTGTGTTTAATATGTGAAGACATTGGTTTTTCCAGTGGGTTGGCAGAAGTTAATGTAATCGCTCATCTCCTCATAATGATTATTTACACTGACGTCTGTAAGGTGATAACCGCCGATCAGATAAATATTCCTGTACTGAGTAGCCTCCGCCAGAGAAGGAATGACCTGCGCGATTTAATTTCCTAAATGCCTCCTCACTGTTTGAAAGTGAGTCTTCACCCTCAGCCCAGAATAGTGCTGAGTGCAGGTGTCTCTCTAGAAACGCGTTTCTTGTCTCTTCACAGGGATCTTCGCTTTAACAGAATCAGGGAGATCCAGCCTGGGGCCTTCCGGAGGCTGAGGAGCCTGAACACCTTGTAAGTCAGCGCGCCGCGTGGGGACCAGCAGGATGGGCGGAGGAGGGCCTGGGCAGACAAGCGGTCACTGCCAGAGGACCGGCCTGCACGCACGTGTCTGGCGAGGTCCCTGTCCTTCCCGTGCTTCCACACTGGCCTCCCATTGGCCGCCGTCCTGGCCGGCGTGGAGAGCCTGAGAGATCCAGGCGACACAGCGATGTCCTCTGTGTAGGGGTGGTGACTGCTTCCCCGTGGCACACGAAGCTGAAGTGATTCTGGGGCAGGAGGGACGTGGACCCTCACTTCTTAAGAACACTTGGAATCACGAGGGTTAATCACGAAAAGTACTCTTTTTTTTGAGCTAATGTAGTGTTTCGCAAATGTTGATCTTAAGGTCGGTAGCTTAATCATTTTGTGACATTTTTCAAGGCTGTAGGAAATGGTTTTTCATAACACAATTCCCAAGTGATGTTGTGTTTTTAATTCTTACTGCAACTTCCTTCCTAGGCTTCTCAACAATAATCAGATCAAGAGAATACCCAGTGGGTCCTTTGAAGACCTGGAGAATCTAAAATACCTGTAAGTCCTCGCCGAGCTCTGCCCACAGCTTGCTGTTTACCAAACATAAACATGAAACAGCCCAACAGCTGTTGCATCACCGAGCTATAGTTTGTACTATTGATGAACTGTTAGTACAGCCGCGTAAAGAGGTTTGGTTTTCAGAAGGTGAGTGAGATTTTGGCTGGGATTTTTAAAATGAGTTGCCGTAAGTATGAAGTGCTACGTTATGCGTTATGTGTTTAGCGACTGAGCTGAAGTAAAACAGGCTGAGAGAACTTCACAGCCAGAGCCTCTGAACGCAGTTCTATAGTAATGGCCCTTCTTGGGGTAGAAGTTGCCACACGTTCTGTCGCCGACGTGGGTGAATAGCTGACGTGCGTGTTGTAAAATATAAGCTCTCAGGACAGTTTGGAGCTGCCTCTCCAGCGATGGCGATGGGCCACAAGAGCCTCCAGGTGCCTTTGGAATGAATGGCATTGATTCCTGACTTTCCCACCTTCTGAGTGACTTCACCTCTTCTCATTTTTAGGTAGTTCAGTTTTATTTCACCTTTAAAAATTGGTGTGGTTTAATGACCTTGCTGGCATTTAGAACACCTGCTTGTTGAACTTGGTTTTGCATTTTGGAACGTGACCTCGCGGGGAAGAGCTGGTTTCGTGCCTTCACAGGCACTTACTTTGAACTTGGAAAGTGGTAGGAAAAGCCCTGCAGCTGCCCTCCTGGTTCTAGACAGATTGGAAGGACGCAGCGTGTGCGCCGAGCACAGGGTTCTTACTTTTAGAGCGTAGATCTAACTTTTTCAATAGAGCCATTTTAATGAGGGATTTATACCAGTGATTTTATGGAAATTTGTGTCATATGTGAACCTGAACATCTTTAAGTTATGTCAGTTTTTAAAACAAAGTCATATTGTCAGTGTTGATACGTATTTTAGAACCTGTTTGCTTTTAGACGTCAGTGGTTCTTAACTACATGGCTAGCTGTAACTCTTACTGAAAATGCATTTTTCTCAATGAAGATATTTGAGTGTGTTATGTGTAAACAGTTTTCTCCTCCACTTTTGGCGAAGTATGTTAATTTTTAATTCTGTATGAACATTATTAAGTCTTATTACCCATTTTTAAAATGAGGGGCAGGCGTTCTATTTATTCTTTTAGTTTTCATTTGTTTGCTTTATTATATTTGTTTATATTATAATATAATTACAAATATAATATTATATTATATTTGTTTAATTTTATATGCTGTGCAAGTCCCAGAAGAAAGCTTTTGATTTCTTGGAAAGCAGACTCAGGTCACTGACCGCAAATTCACAGTGTGTGTGTGTGTGTGTGTGTGTGTGTGTGTGTGTTTAGCTTGCTTTTCATTTTGGTTTTGGTTTTGGTTTGAATTACTTAAGAGCAATTTATTATTTACTCTGCAAATGTATTTAATGTCAAGGAGTTTGGGACACTGTTTTTCACTTAGGACAATCTTTTTTACACGATATTCTTTCATTCAACCTTCTCTACTGACCAGCTCTCTCTCAAAGCCCGCATGTGCCCGCGGGTGGTAGCTGCCACAGGTCGCTGGGGGTGGGCTGAGTGGTGGTCAGCAGACAAGGGGGCAGCTGGACCATGGTGAGGAAAGCGCCGAGTGGCAGGGATGGAGCTGGGACAGGACGGGGACCTGGGACCCTTGTCCAGTGGCTCCCGGGTCCGAGCACCTCAGGCCTCATGGGAGAGCACGCTGACAAGCACTGAGCTAGGAGGTTGTGTGATGGGTGAGAGCCCTCCCGGGATTTACTGGTTATTTCAGCCTTGTGTGTTTAGTTGGTGCCAAAGCACATGTGAGAAGCTGAGTATCCCTCTCTGCCGAATCCCAGCTACTGCTGTTAAGGCACAATATTTCCTGATGATGAAATTAACTCTTGAGATAGAACTTACATTCAAGGGTCAACTCTGTGATGAAGTAGAGTATTATTTATAATTTATTATTAGAAGGTGATCAATACCCGATCATTCCTATTATTCCTATTATTGATGTGTGTGCATCCATGTTAGTTTGGTTCGTTAAAAGGATTCCTTGACTCGCTTTTCAGCGCACATGCTCACTGAGGCCCGTAGCGATGCTCTGTTTTAAAGAAGGGGCTTGGAAACCTCTCTTCACGCTCGCCCTCCGGGGAGTGGCACCTGACGCCCAGCAGGAATGACGGCTCGCTGGCCGCACTAGGAGTTTCATGCCGGTTGATTTAGTCTCAGTGGTCCTGGGAGAAACTGAGGCAGGGCAACGCCTAGAGTCTCACCCAAGGACACACAGCTAGCATGAGGCAGTTCAGGGCCTCACCCCCACGCAGCCTGGCAAAGTCACTGCCAGGCCAGGCCTCTGTTGTGGGCACGGGCTGTCACTAGGTGGGACTCTGGCTGGTCGTGATCCTTTGCGAGGTCACCTCAGCAGATTTGCACAGGAGGGGATTGCAATAGTGAAAAATAGCACAGCAGGTCCTGTTAGACGGGGCCCTGCACCAAACGTTATGAATGAAAATGCAACAGGACACGTTGTCCTGGGATGCAGTCTGCAGAATTACAAGTACTGCGGCAAAAATGTTGATTACTAGGGGACATAGGCCGGTGAGACACCAGCCACCGAGGGACTGGTGGGAGGGTAGCTAATGCCTGGGTTGGAAGCAGACAAGTGTGGGTTTGGGCCGGTCCACTCACCCATGCGGAAGTGTCTGCAGAGTCCAGGGCTCATGCACTCGCCACAGACGTGGGGTGGGGGGGCCTGCACTGAGCACCAGTCGTGTCTGGGGGCAGAGCCAGCCTACACGGCTTGTGGTCGCAGTCCTTAGTGAGTCCGTTCAGGAGGCACAAGCTTGTCCCGAGAAGGCCTGGCAGCACAGACTTGAGGCGTCATGGGCCACTCTGCCACAGCCGTGGACGGAACCAAATGAGTGGGCGTGGCCAGGTGCCACACAGCTTCAGGACACTGAATTTAGCTTTCATGTAATTTTCACATGCCATGAAACACTGTTTTTCATTTGAAAGTTGCAACCACTTAAAAATGTAAAAAGCACTCTTAGCTTGCAGGCCACACAAAAATAGGCTGAGGGCCAGTTCCGTGGCTCTGACAGTGGATTCTGGGTGGGTGAGTAGTTCAGATGCGTTTAGTCTTCTCTCGTCAACTTCCCAAATTATATCCAGATGTTTTATAAAACTATATCGGTTACAGACTTTTTTTTTTTTTTTTTTTTAGCTGGGCCATCTTGCCACCTGTTGTTGGCAGCTCAGCGGCTGCTCCGCTCAGGCTGGGACTCGAACCACTGTTGCTCAGAGCTTGAACTCTTGAGCGAGCTCTTAACCAACTGAGCCACTCAGCCGGCCCGCGGTTACAGAGTCTTTTAATCAGGGCATGTTACATGTTTGTGGGGAAGTGGTTTTGTTTTGTTTAGGCTGTGAAGCAAATGAGCTCTCACAATTCCTAGACCATAGAACGCATGTTCCCTGAACCCAGATAGCAGTGGCTGGAGTGCCTGCCGCTGGTACTGCTGCCTGTCACTCGAGACTGTCCTCTGAGAAGGGGACGGGGGCCCGCGTGAGGGACTGGTGCTCACCGTGTAGGCGCCCCCTTCATTCTAATACGGCCGCTAATTTTGAAACTGCCCCTGAGTCCTCGTAGCTCTCCGTGCCCTCTGAGGCTTTGCCTCTCGCGCGTGTGCTAACCCTCCGATGTTTCTTGTTTCAGCTATTTGTACAAGAATGAGATCCAGTCAATTGACAGGCAAGCGTTTAAGGGACTTTCCTCTCTAGAGCAACTGTAAGTGGCCCTCGCTTCTGCCCCTCGCTTCCTTAGGTGTCACCTGCCCTGTTCCCCTCGCAGGGGAATGGACCGAGATTGCTGTTTGCATGTTGCATGCCTGTGTTAGTGGGACATAGGGAGCGTGTGCATGCAAACAAGCGGCCGTCATGGACCCGCTGTCCAGCCACCGTCCACCCCCTGCTGGGCATTTCCCAGTCGCAGCTGTACCCCAGGCCCTGGGCCCTGTGCTCGCGACACAAACAACAGTAGATTGGCCCCGTTCCCGTGGTGCCCGATTTAAAGGACAGACATACTTGCAAACTGATCTGAGCCTGCGAAGCTCGTCTGGGGAGCCGAGCGGGGTGCGTGGGGTGAGGAGGCTGGTGGTCCCCGTCCCGGGTGCACTTGAGCAGCCTGGTGGCTCTCTTGGCGTGTGATGTCATCGTTCTGGAGAAAATAAGTGTCTTCCATGTGTTTCTAGTTAGTGTCGGAAGGATGTTGTTTCTTTGGCCACATATGAAGTCCTGCTTTGCTGCAGTCAGCATGTTCACTTTTTCAGCACAATTCCCAGGAAAAGGAGTTTTTTCTGGTTTTTCTGCTTGGCGGGTCACCCATCTGTCACTGAGCCAGAGTCGTTCCGAGCTTCAGGCTCTCCTAGAGCTTTGCTCCCGTGGCCCCAAGACAGCTGTTTGCTGAGCTGAGCTGAGTTGAGCTGAGTGTGACACCCTGTGCCACAGCCACGTGCATGTGTCTGTGCTTTGTCGGCTGGGTGGGCGCAGAACCATGTCGGGGCTGCAGGCAGAGCTAGGGAGAAGGTGCACCCCGAAACCACACTGCTCATGCTTATCAGCAAACACCTGTCTATCGATTTGAGCGACGGCTGCTGTCCTGAGCTGGTTTGCACGGTCTGCGGCAGGCTGGGGAGTCGGGCAGTCTCTGCCTCCGAGAGAAGGAGACGGGACGAGCTCGGATCCTCGCAGACACATGTGGGGGTCTCTGGAGAACAGCCAGATAGAAGGACAGTTCACAAGGGAGCACGTCCCTGCACCTTGCACCCAGCATGCTGTTAGTGGAATGGGGACAGTGAGGTCCTCATGGCGGGTCAGTGAAGTTGGCCATGGTTCACATGTGCCGACAGAGTTAGGAGGCGCTCCAGACTCATGAGGGGTGAGCTGAGTCACTTTCAAGAAAGAAAGAGGCCAGGACAGGTCTCTGAGGTGTGGTTTTCTGACCCAGCACTGGGGAGTCTGGAGTCTCTGCTGCCGGCCTGCTCCCCTTCAGCTGTCGTCGCCGAGTGTCCCATGGGGGTGAAGACACAGGACTGGACCCCCACCCTCGGAGAGCCCTGTGCAGGGAGGGCATGGGCGTCCCGCCAGGAATGCGGGTCAGATGCTGTCCTGCCGTGTGCAGAGCGTTGCAGGGTTCTCTGTTTCCGTCCCCATCCTGTGGGTCCCCAGACCAGAGAAGAGGCTGGAAGGAGCAAGGCCCTGGAGCCCGGGGTTAGGAGGGACACAGTGCCAGGCCTCCTGGGAGACTGGGTCACAGGCAGCGCACACGCCTGGCCAGGGTCAGGTACACGGGTTAGAACCGGACTCACTTCCTGTCTGTGGTCCATACTTTCCTCTGCTGTCAGGGAGGGGTGGCTGCCCCCCAGGCCGCCAGAGCTGCAGCCGCCTAGGAGCCTTTGTGCCCCTGGCAGTGAGGGTTCTCAGCGCATTCAAGGCAGACCCCTGTGTCCCACCTGGGCAGCCCTCTGCCTGGCCAGCCTGTAGTGGGCAGTTGCTGTGGGACTGGCACATCCCCCTTTCCTGCCCTCGATCAACTTCCCCTGTCTGCGCAGCTGAGCATGTCTGTTCCACGTGTCTGTTCCACGTGTCTGTGCCCCTGACCAGCTGTGTCCCAGGAGCTGCCTCATAGTAGCTGTTGGAGGTTCTTGCTTGATCCGTCCCTTCAGGCGCTGTCCTGTGATGGAGGTGGCAGAGGGGCTGGTGGGAAGCGGGAGGTGTCACGGTGTCCTGGCCGTGACCCAGGGGAGGCCGGACTCTGCAGGCCCTCAGCTGGGCCCGTGTCCGTGTGCCCCTTCTCACAGACTGGGAGTCGCCCTGCCTGTCGGGGTTCCGGTGAGCTGTCCCAGAGGGAGGCCCGGGCACGCACGGGATGGGGCGCGGGCAGTTGAGTTTGGTGACTTTGAAGTGACAGTGATTTGGAAAAGTTAGTGAAAGTCTCTAAGGATGGAGGGTGTTTTGAGAAAGCTCTCTTCTGTTTGTGCTTATGTAGAGACCTGTCACTGCTGGGGCCTGGACTCTGTCACGCCTGTTGGTCCCCAGCGTCTCTTGAAGAACCTGACATTTAAAACGTGTGCATGGTGGGGTGGGTGCGCGGGTGCATGGGTGGGGACCTCTCATCTTGCTGGGTGGATGAGGTTGGGGTGGGGGGGGTCCTGGCAGAAGTACCCAGTTAGAAGGTGACTCAGTGTTTTGCTGAAGGAAAAACACCACCCATTTTCAAAGTGAGAAAAGCAGTATTCAGAAACATCTGAAGAAACTGTATGTGAGTGTGTAAGTCAGGGGAAGGACGGGGGCGTCATAAACACAAAGGGCATGAACTCTGGCAGCCATGTAAGTAAAGGGCTCTGGGAAACGCAGTCTCCCCTCGGTGCCGTTGTCCTTTTAGGGTTCCTGAGGTGGTTTCTGTGGCTGACAGTACCCTCAGTGTCACAATACAGTGGACGCCCCTGATACAGTCATACATAAGTTCAGAGATTTGAAGGAAGGTATTCACATGCCTGAATATGTCTTATGATTGAGATGATGTTGATTTTTTTCTAGAAAGGTCCAGATGTTTTGGAAGTGAACCAGTGGGCCTGAGCAGTCGTGGCTTTCCCCTCGGAGTGTGCAGGGCCTCGGCCAGCATGTCTGACCCATAGTTGTCATTGTCCACTCAGTCACAAAGCCTGGGTCCCGTTTTCAGTGGTGCTCCTTCCTGTTGGAGGGCTTTGTTTTCCCCACAGTGTAGGCCATCTAGAGAATCACCTATTGACGTATGAATTTGAAATGACTTTAGAAAAAACATTTGAAGAGAATCTAGACCTGTAAAAAGTAACTAAAATCATTTAAATTGTTTCTTTCTTTCTTTTTTAACTTTCTATAGGTACCTGCACTTTAATCAGATAGAAACTTTGGACCCAGACTCATTTCAACATTTGCCAAAGCTGGAAAGGCTGTAAGTCACGTTTCGTTCCTGACCGTCGACCTTTGCCTGCTCTGGGCGGCCGCGGGCTCTGCCATTGGCTGTGATAGAGTTGAGGTTACTATCAGTTAAAACACCCCAAAACAGTCTTCATATAAAACCTGAGCTCCTGTCTAGCAGTTCACAAGCAGGACTTACAATTTCCTGTATTTGGGCGTGGTGATAAAACAGAAAAACAATCTAGTTCTTTTCTGGACTAAATAGCATTGCTCTGAACTCGTTGGTATTAAGTGAATGCAATCACAGATTTCTTTAAAAGCCAATGCATTCGACTGCTTGCACTCTTTTCTACACGGCTTAGGAGTGTTCTCAAAAGTGGTTCGTTGTATGATCTCTTTCTACAGATTTCTACACAACAACCGAATTACACATTTGGTCCCGGGGACATTTAATCACTTGGAATCTATGAAGAGACTGTAAGTATGACACTTTTGTGCTCTCTTCCCATCAAAGCCCATGCGGCGTGCCTGCCCCCTCTTCCTGGGTGACACGACGTGCGCGCCACCGATCGGGCGAGGCTCTGCGTGAGGGGGTGGGTCACAGCCGCTAGGAGGCGACACCGAACCGAGGTCTCCAGAGCACATGGCCATGGCTAATTCTTTAAGTCAAATAAGATGTTTTAAAAGTCAATTCTAACTTTCTTAAGTCAGTTTTTACTTCCATGTCGCATATTACTGGTGGAAACAAAATTGGTCTAGAAGGAACCTCCCCACTTGTCCTTTTATTGAGGGGTACACATAACAATGTTCAGTAGACTGATGTTTACCCGATTTTTCAAGGCCTCTAAAAATAACTTTTCCTGTGCTGAGTAATTTCTTAGAATAGAAGTGAGGAATTCTGGTGCTGACAGAAAGCTATCAGTTCTCCTTTTGTGCTTTTCTTCATGGTCTTGAAGACCGTGTTTTCCAGTTTGGTATCATCTGGACTTAAGAAAGAAAGAAAACGCAAGTCACCGAGCCGAGAGCCAAAGCGGCCTGTTACTTACGTCATCTCTTCAGCGACATAAGACACACACTTTTCATCACTGTTTATGATTTTTTTCCTTCGGATAAAGAAGTCAGCAGCCACACTCAAGTTTACATTCTAGGAGTGGCCATGATAAATGCTTCCATATTTGATAGATGCCAGAGCATAGCAGAGAAATCTCCGGAAACAGCCCAGGCAGCTCAGGGCCGGCAGGTTGGTTCCCAGAGGCTGGAATAAGCTGACAACCGTTTTTCTCTGTTTCCAGCCCCCTCTGTAGACTGAGGTCGGTCCTCCCACCTCGAGCCCATGCTTCTTGTCCCACTCACCCCCCGACTTTGCTCAGTCCATGAAACCCCAGATTCTAAGGCCTCAGTGAATTGTCCTCTTCTCACCCCAGACGCCAGAGGGGAGCGCGGACTTGGTCGCCTTCTGCCCGTGGCTCCCAGGCCCAGGAGAGCTGGCCAGTGTCATGTAGCCAAGCTCACCCGACTGGTCCACCTGCTCTACCCCGTGACCTGTTGCAAAGGTCCTGTTATTCAGAGGGGCTGTCGGGCCCGAGGGCTGCCCCCAGCAGGTCCGTGCCCTCCCCACCCATGGCCTCCACACCTCAGAGTCCAGGCACTGTGCTGTGATGTCCTGTCTGCATGGAGCCCAGTAGATTCTGTTGTGATGGTCATCAGTGAAGTGGCTCTGAGCCCGTGTTGGAGAAAGGCAGGTGGCAGGTGTGACGTCACAGGCCACGGTCTCCCAGGGTGGCCCTGGGCCTGCACTGTGGACTTACAGGACGATGAGTTCAACCCTTCGCTCCCCACACCTTATATTTGGGGCCTGTGAGTTCCTCCTCTGTGGATTCAGGCTGCGCCCGCCTCAGTGGGGTTTCCTGATGAGCCAGCTCAGGCCCGCTGCCAGCAGCTGTGCCAGTTCTGTGCCCTGGTCCCCTGGGGCAGCTGCTTCTCATCGCTGTACTACACAAACGGCCTTCCTGCCCGGTGGAGGGTCCCCGGCCTGTCACATTTGTGGGGACGGGGGTGTCTGCGCACACACTTTGCCAGCCACTTTCGGGACGACTTCCTTCTACGAGATCAGAGCTTCATGGGCTTCAGAAACAAACCCCAGCCACGCGATGCAGCTGCCCTGTCGTCCCCTGTGGGACAGTTAAGGACCCCTGAGATGACACAGTGTACAACCCAGTGATCGTTTATAAGGGGCCCGTTCTGCATCTCACAAGAGGTCCCTGTTTTGAACCTGAAACCCACGGCGTTTAACCACTCGCCAGGCATCGCGCTGCCTCACGACCCCCTCGACCGTGGTGCTCCTGGTCCTCCTGTCTGCTGACACGAGGGTCTGGGTTTGGTTCCCAGCTGGGCCGGCCTGGGTGGGATCTGTCCTCTGCCACCTGACCTCTCCCAACACGTGGAGCCCGTTGGCCTCCGTTTGTCCAGCCCAGTCTTTCTGGGATGGTTAGCGCCTGTTCTCTCATATCTCACCGGCTGCTTCTCACAGGCGACTGGACTCCAACGCGCTTCGCTGTGACTGCGAAATCCTGTGGCTGGCAGACTTGCTAAAAACCTACGCCAGGTCGGGCAACGCGCAGGCAGCAGCCACCTGCGAATATCCTAGACGCATCCAGGGACGGTCGGTGGCCACGATCACGCCGGAAGAGCTGGACTGTGGTGAGTGAGCAATGCTGGCGTGGCCGGGGGTGTGGGTGTGCGTAGCCCTGTCTTCACTGGCTGGCTCCCAGAGCAAGTCCCGGTGGGGCCTGACGAGGACCCTCCTGTGGAAGCCCTGCTCTGTAGAATCTGTGAGGAACTACAAGTGAACGCACCTGGGCTTTCCTCTAAGGCTCCCTGCCTGACGGGCCGGCCCCGGGGGTGCTAGGAGTCAGGTGGCACAGGTGCCGGGCGGTGGCCACACAGGGTGCAGGGGCTGAGGTCCATCCCTCTGATGCATCTGGGCCTGGCGCTGTGAGTATGGAATTCCTCACTCCATTGCAGAACAGGACCAGACCCGAATCAGAGTGCATGGCTGAGCCTTCCTTACAAATCTCCATGGAGCTCCACCTTTTCTTTTAATTTTAGTCTTTTTTTGGGGGCTAAAACTAGCTTTTTGGTTCTTTCTCCAAAGCATCATTGTTATTTTTTACATGTTAAAGACAAACAATGAAAATTAAAAACCAATGCATTTCACAAATGACCCTACCGATAACATAAACACACTTGTCATCATTTAGTTCCTTTACTACTGCCTGGGTGCTTTGGCTAAAAAGTATTGTTTTCTGCTCTCTTATTAACTGAAAACCATTATTCATGGAGTGTGCAGTCCACACTGGGGTCTTGCTCCCTTGACAACTGTGCATGCTGAGGCCGTTCCCCGATGCTTGTCTGAGACACCTCCATGTCAGGCTGCCCACGTCTGAGTACGAGAAGACGTTGTGCGGGGATTGGCCTGTCAGGTGGTCTCCGTGGACGAGCTTATCAGGTGGTTTCCCGTGGACGCACCTGTCTGTCACTTTGTGGGGATATTTTTGGTTGAATACAGCTTGAATACCTGTGACTTGTTGGTGACATAAGGGGTGCCGTTGGGGTCCTTGATCCCTTGATGTTTAAGACCAAGAAGGTCTCCACTTCCTTGTTGGTGCAGAAAGGCCCCGGATCACGTCCGAACCCCAGGACGCAGACGTCACCTCGGGGAACACCGTCTTCTTCACCTGCAGAGCTGAGGGCAACCCCAAACCCGAGATCATCTGGCTGCGAAATAAGTAAGTTGGGTGTTGGATGGGATGTCGCCCGTGGACGGACCTCCAGGTCCACCTGGGTGCCCTGCCTGCTGGACAGTGCACAGCACAACCCTCCAGACCCCACCTTGTCCCTGCTCTTCTTCCGTGAGGAGGAAGCATCAAGGAGAAAACACTTCTGCATCTTCTCTGCTCTGAAACAGCAGTGGGGCCGGGAGATGCGTCTGCGTCCCAGGGTCCCTGAGCCGTCGGCCGGGTCGCCGCGGCGGTAGCTCGCTCTCACTCTGCCCTGGTCGGCGTTTGCTCTAAAGGGCGGGTTAGGAACAGGAGGGGAAACTGGTTCTCTGCCCAACTGCTTCCTCTGGCTGGAAGCCCCGGGTGTGGTGAGTGGGGGCTTGGCCTCTGGAGCATTGGAACTTGTCATCACCAGATGTGGGGTCCTGCTGCTGGGGGCGGGGTCCTCTTGGAGACTCTGGTAGGTGACCATGTAGGTGCTGAGCTCTTACATGTGCCTGACTCATCTCCTGAAAGGTCGGCCTCCCCGTTGTCCGCCAGCATTTGGTTTGGGGAGCAGAGGCAGGTGACAGAGTCAGACACACTAGGACCCTGGTCAGCCCACAGGGTCGTTGGGAAAGGGGAACATTTCAAGCGTCCGTCTTGGACTTAGTCCTCAGTGTGGGACCCCTCGCTGCTCCCCGTGTGTATGTGCGTGAGCACTGTGCCACCATCGCTTAGGAGCAGAGCCGGCCTGTCACCCTGGTGCTCGGCACCTCCCTGTGGAGCTGCAGGGCCCTGTTGAGTCATGACTGGGCACGGAGGACGCTGTGGAGATGGGGACCCAGACACCAGCTGGGCCGTCGTCCTCCAGACCTGGGCTGACCCCGGACAGTGTGCCTGGGCTCCTGAGTCCAGCAGTGTTGGCAAAAAAGGCGACGCGGTCGGTGAGCCGGGTGTCTGAGAACCCCCAGCTGCAGAACGGCAAGTCAAGTTCCTGGCTCTAAAGATGTGGGGTTTTTTCTGGGCCCAGACTTGTCCTCACATCGGACTTGTCCTGACACTGGACTTGAGCCACTGCTGTGTGGGAAAAAATCACATATCTCCAGGTCTTGATTCTGGGCTGGCTCTGCAGTCAGTGGTATTGAAACTCCAGCGTGAGCACTGCAAGAGTTCTGAAATATTTTGAGGCACACATTGAAAAGGCACAGAGCACATTTGGCTTAAGCTCTGCACATCCACATTCATAAATGAACAAACTGGTACAAAAAGTTAACACCCCAGAGCCTGTCACCGAGAACAAAGCTGGGCCTCACCCTCCACCTGCCCATCGCTGCCAGCCAGCCTCACCTGTGGGCCAGCCTCACCTGTGGGCCAGCCTCACCTGTGGGCCACCCTCACCTGCGTGCCTACCTCACCTGTGGGCCACCCTCACCTGAGCGCCTGCTTCACCTGCTGGCTCAAGTGTTATGGGTGGGAACTGGGCCACCTCAGTAAGAGTCTCATTTGTGGGGCCTGAGGTGACTTGCTTCCCTCCAGAACACCCCTTGAACAAGGACGGGTTTTACTTTTGGGTGACTGGCCGGGGAGGTAGGGGCAGGCAGGACGGCGGCGCTCACGCGGCTCAGGGATCTCAGCCCGGAGCTCCTCGGTCTCTGAGCCGAATCCGTATAGAAATGGTCATAAACAATGATGGCTTTGTTCTGTCAGCTTATGTAATCTTTTGCTTCAGTAACATAGATGTTTCTACCCTGTTGTCTTGAATGAATTTGCCGGAAACAAAGGAAAATATTTTTTTTCATTGTGTTTATTTTTTCCCTTTGGAATGAGGGCCACTTTAAAACTTAAATCTTTATATTGGGTTGTCGGAAAAGTCATGCCGTATTTTTTTCTGTTTTTCATTGCAAAAATGCATCATGACTTCTTCGACAACCCAATCGATTGCACATGTAAATAACACGCAACTATTTGAATTAATGAGATGCAACCACATAGGCCGCTGCCCCAGAAACGCCCATCATGTCAGGCTGTTGAAAGGAAAGTGGGGGACATGCAGCCCCGCCCCTCTGCTCCCAGCGCTCAGGTACCGCGGACGCAGGCACCTGCCACGACCGGCACCTGCCGCCAGGATCAGGCGTCCCTGTGTGGTGAGGACTTGGTGTGCGGCCTTCTGTCTCTGCAGTAATGAGCTGAGCATGAAGACGGATTCCCGCTTGAACTTGCTGGACGACGGGACCCTGATGATCCAAAACACACAGGAGACGGACCAGGGCATCTACCAGTGCATGGCGAAAAACGTGGCCGGGGAGGCGAAGACACAGGAAGTGACCCTCAGGTACTTTGGGTCTCCAGGTACGTGGAGAGTGTGCACGTGTGGGTCCTTCCAGCAGCGCCTTCCTCAGGCCCTCTTCCTCCCGTGCCCCCTGATCAGACGCCATCTGTGTGGCAGCTCCGGCAGCGGCCGGCCCGCGGCTCTCGGCAGTGGGGTCACAGCTGACTCTTGCCCATATCTGCGGCCCACAGTCAGCCTCTAATGCAGGATGGACACTCAGAGTGGACGGTTGAGGTGGCTGGTGCTGTGACGCAGCCGTCAGAGGGGCTGTGGACACCTGCTGAGACCGCAGCGGGCCCACCCCCGTCACGCCCACCCCAAGGGGCAGCTGCCAGGTGTCCCCATTTGCCAGTGGGGTCTCCATTGTGCTAAGAACTTTGGTTATTGAAAATGAAGCCAAAATCTGGAATTTTATGCAAAATCCTCACATCTAAAATGTTGGTACCTGATTTTTAAAAGACCGTCCTAGTCGAGCGAGGCACAGATATGGCCTGGAGTGGGTGTGGGTCCCACCAGGTGGCAGGTCTGCTCTTGTCGACGTGTTTCATTGCAGGGCTGGGGTCAGAAAAGCAAGTGGCCCTTGGAGGCGAGCCCTGAGCGGTGGGGCCATGACCCCACTGCTGCTGGAATGGCATAGGGGAGGGTCTGCAGTGTCACTACCGCCGGCTGGGCCAGCACAGCTGATCCCGTACCCAGGACGGGTGCCGCCTACACTTGCCTGCTGACACCTGGCTGCCGCCCGCGGCTTCCTCTGCAAACCACTCTGTGTCTGGGTCTCCCTGCACTTACTTTGTATCCCCGCCCACTGTCCGATGGCGGTGTACGCGGTTGTGTGTGAGCCTTTGTTCAGATGCTTGGCTCAGAAAAACTGGTCTGATGTTTGCATTGCTTGGTACGCCCAGTAGGACAGCATACACACAGTCAGTATTCCTTAGCGAATGACAATTCCTAGTATGGAATTTCAGCTCAAGGGAGAGCAAAGCCCAGTCAGAGGGCTGCCACACATGGGGAGGGCTTTGGGCGTCTCCACGAAGTCTTGCTGCTGCTCGGAGGCTCGAGGGCACAGCTCTCGGTCCCAGAAGAAGCCTGTGCTTTGTGTGTGAGGAGTGGGAACACCCACAGGACAGTGGACGGCGGCAGTGCCCTCAGCATAGGCTGCAGGACAAGGAGAACAGTGGGGCCTGACAAGGAACTTCCATTGGGTTGGCTGCCCTCCAGACAGCAGCATTGTCTCCCTCCGAAGTCATTTCTTCCTCGGGGACGGCGGCCTTACTGAGTGTGCAGTCCGAGCATGTCCGTGTAGCTCCCTGAAGCACACATGAAGGGGCGCCCCGATCTGTGACAGGGTCACTGCCGCGTGCAGCCAGCCATCCGCCTGGACCAGGGGCTGACAAACTGTCCTACAGACCACGCCTGGCCCACTGCCTGTTTTCCTAAGACCTACAAAGACTGGTTTTACATTTTTATGTGATTGAAAACCGTAGGAAGTTTTAGGATATATGGTAATTACATGAAAGTCAAGTTTCAGTGTCTATAAATTAAGTTTTATTGCAACGTAACCACACTCATTCTTTTACAAGTTGTCTGTGGCTGCATTTTGCTGCATTTTGCTTGAGCAGCAACAAAGGCTGTGTGGGTCTGCGATCCTAAAAAGTACGCTTTGGCCCTTTCCACAACAAGTGTGTCAGCCTTGTCCCCAGACTGGTGACAATATGTAGTAATGATAACAGACCGACTTGTAAGGCTCCAGCAGCCTAAAGGGCTAAATATACTTTATGTATTTTGAAGCTCTTATTAGGGGCGTGTAGCTCGCAATTTTTATCTCCCCGTGAACAAAACTTTCGGTCATGAACACTTGTACCTGTCAGTGCATTTTGCCTCAGCGTTAATCTGGCTTAACAGCGACGCAGCCCGCAACCAGCTTCCTCCGGGCGTGTGAGTGTCGCTGCCCCGTCGTTTTGTTCTGAGCCTTTCTGTACCCATAAGCTATGAACAGCACCGAGCGACGTGAAAAAAACTCAGATGGACATTTTCTTAAAGTGATTCCATCTATAATTATTGTAGTCAGTAACATGCTTAGATGTATAAATTCTTCCTCTTCTTTTGGACTATTTATTTAACGTTTTCTGTGCTTCGTGCCTTATTTTGGAATAATTGTTTTTCATCTTCTATTTTCCTAGCTCTAGTTGGGAAGTTACATGCTATTTCTTTTCTTTCAGTGGTTATTCCAGACCATTTTAAATGCATTCTTAAATTCCAGAGCCCGTAGCTGCTGTCTTTACCTTTATCTCCAAAATGCAGTCGTACCTCTGAGTCTGTCTGCGGGCTGGTGATTTCCAATGTGTAAAACATCATCGTTTTGTCCTCTTAACGCCTGTCTCGCTGCACCCATGTATTAATCACTTCTGATTGTCTTTACCGCTTTCTGCATCTCAGCTCTTCCTGGGCCCAAACCCGTGTGAGGACCAGCCTTTGGTTAACAAATTTAAAATGACCCTGTTTGCCCCCTCTCCTCAGCAGGCTCCCTGGGTGGGGAGGGGGTCCCACTGCATCTCCAGCTGGTGTAGCACTGGGGGACCCCGCTGCCCCGTTCCTGGTTGGCTCCCCCTTTTTCTGATGTTCCCCGTTTAAGGGGAGTCTGACACCGAGGGCCCCGCCACCCTCGGGCCCTGACTGCTGCTCTTATCCCTGGACACGACCCACAGCCTCCTCGGGCTCGCCGCTGTCTAGAGACGCTGGTGCTGACTCTCGTCTCTCCTTTCACGTGCTGTCACTAGGCATTTGGCTGATGAGGCCTACACTTGAACACAGGACGGTGTAGAAAGGTCCCGCTCACGTCTCTGTCCATCACCCACTTAGTTGCTGCCTCAACCCCACGTCCCCACATTGCAGACGGTCGTTTCTTCTTCGTTCTGGAAGAACCATCAGCGCTGCTGCTGGAGGTCTTTCCCTTCAGGCTGACGCTGTCCCTTGACAGCTGTGTTGTGTTTCGTGATGATGTAACAAAACCCGCTCCCTGTGGGCACGTTGGGCTTTTCCCCAAGACCTTTTGCTACCCCTTTATCCCAAAGCCCTGGGGCCAGATGTGAGACATTCGGAAATTTGGGGACTTTTCTCAGAAGGCCGCGTGGTGCAGCATAACATGTGTAACAGACATGCACACCCTACACCCGATGTGTCGCGTCCTGTAGCAAATGGCGTGGAAACTCCCAGGGAAATGAGGATGTGAAGCGGCCTCACGAAGGGAGATCGACTTTTATCAGCAAATTAGGAAGAAATAATTTCTTTTCCAGAGCTTTTTGGATTCCAGAATTATGGATGAAGGTGTCCATCCAAAGAAACACCACAACCATTAAAGAAACGCTTCTCTGTGCAGCCGTTTCACGTTCTGTTGACTATGTTGCATAAGGTCCCAGCGGGTAATTTCTGGGCCAAAGTGCCTGCAGGTGTTTAGTTCTGAGGTCAGAGGCCACGTGACACTCCAGGTGGGCCGTGACACTTGGTGCTGCTGACGTGGGAAAGTGTGGTTTCTGCCCAGACTCACCCACAAAGCACATTGAGTGTGCGGGGTTTTTTCTAGATTCAGAGTTGAAAGGTATTATCTCAGGGTAGTTTTAATGTGTGAGTGAAACGGATTCTTTTATTTGTTATGAATATACTTTAAAGACAACGTGTTACACCCATAAGAACGACTAGCCAGGTCGACAGCGTGTTTGGGACAAACACAGTGAGAATGCTCAGGCACTCTGTCCCTGCTTCAACCGGAAACCAGCTCTCGCTAATCGCTCGTAGCTGCTGGCCGCGCGTGTGACTCACGGCGGTGCCCACTTTTATTTTCTGCACATTTCTTTAAGAAACAAAGAAGGCAAGAAAGGCGGTTGAATTATGTGGTTTCTCTTAATGAAAGGTCACCAGCTAGAACGAGTCGCATGAACATAGAAAAACTCAAGCCGACTGTTGTCCAACTAGAGGAAATAATACAGCACTTGTGTTTTGTTGTGACAGCTCGACCCGCTTTTGTAATCCAGCCGCAGAACACGGAGGTCCTGGTCGGGGAAAGTGTCACCCTGGAGTGCAGCGCCACCGGCCACCCGCTGCCACGGATCACCTGGACAAAAGGTGACCAGACGTCCGTGCCTGCGGACCCTCGTGTCAGCATCACTCCCTCCGGCGGCCTGTACATTCAGAACGTGGTGCAGGAGGACAGTGGCGAGTACACGTGCTTCGCGGCGAACAGCGTCGACAGCATCCACGCCACGGCCTTCATCATCGTCCAGGGTGAGAGTCGGGACTGCGCCCTCCTGCCCGGCGGCCGCCGGGGCCTGGTCCTCCGCCCGGAACTGGCTTTTCTTTACCCACCACCTGATTGCTTACGTGTGACTTGGTGATTGGTTTATTTTCTGATCCGAAGCTTCAGGCAGCCGGGGGCTTTGTTTTCTGGTCGTTATGTGTAGCCTGGGGGTGCCCGGCACGTGTAAGTTTGGAAGCCGGTTCACGAGCACCTTGCCATGACGTCTGGCTCTGCGTGTGTCACTGTGCCTCACACCATTTGGTGCTCGCTTTCTTTGATATGGTTACTTTTATGAAAATGGAATCATGGTGGATACACTATTTTCACCCAAGTCACAAAACAGCCCCATCACTATACACAGCTGTTACTTGATGACGTTCCCAGCCATCGGCAATACCGACAGGATGGGCAAGGACGCGCTGTCTCCAGGGCTGCCCGCGTCCGTGGCCTGGACGCCAGCTGTCCTGGCAGCTGTAGCTGGCGTGGGTGTCCGGCCAGTGTCTGCCGTCTGCGGGGCGATGCCCGGAAACGCCCGCCACCAGGGTGCCTGCCCTTCACTTGCCCCCCCTTGCGAGTCTCCCCCATCTGTGCACAGCTGCTGCAGGGACAGAGGGTCCTTTGGAGTCTGTCCTTGTCACTGAGGCAGCACCTCCTGTGGGGGAGGACAGTGGCAGCGCCAGGGTGTGTGGCGTTCTCGGCAAAGCTGTCTTTTTAACGCGTGTTCCCAATGTGTTTCCTTCTGGAAGCTCTGCCTCAGTTCACTGTGACCCCTCAAGACAGATCTGTGATCGAGGGTCAGACAGTTGATTTCCAGTGTGAGGCCAAGGGCTACCCGCAGCCCGTCATCGCCTGGACCAAAGGAGGTAAGATGCCGACCTGGCCCCCTGGGCCTGCCCTGTCTCCTTCCCTCCCTCAGACAGACTCAGCCTGGTCTGTCTGTCTGGCCCAGCAAACCCCAGTCCTCTGGGCAGGGCTGACATGGCTGAACCCGCAGGGCTCAGGCTCTGGGAGGACCAGAGGTGCCCGCCTGTCCCGGCCGCAGGCGCCCCCATTGCATTGGAGATCTGCCGACCAGAGGGAGAGGGGTGTGGCCTGCTCAAGGTCACCTTCACCCAGATAGTCTGTGTCTCGCCTGTAGTGCACACTCAATTAGCATTGCATGAAATTTAACACCTGGGATAGAACTTTCTGGAAACCAGTAGTAGAATATACTTTAAAAAATGCTTTTACTCTCACTTTAATTCCCAGAGTGCTCCTGCTGTCTCTCCATCGCATTACTTCTCGGGGTGGGATTTCAGCCCTCTCTCCAGTGGGTGAGCCGCTGGCCACTTGGCTGGAGGCACAGACCCTCCCCAGGGGTGACAGGAGCCTGGCCGACAAAGTCGGGGTGACGGAGGGCAGGTGCCCACACTGGTGGACTTTCAGCGTTCTGCCCTAGACTTGAGACAGGGTGACCCTGAGAACCTGCTGCTGACGACCTCTGCCTTGAACCAAAGGGCAGCTCTTTGTCCCCTGAGGGCCCTTTCCAGGGACTCGCAGGCCCCCTGTGCACCACACACCCTGGGCCTCCCAGTTCCCGGGCAGGAAGGCTCATCCCCGAGCGGGTGGGTGACCTCGCCTGTCGGTATCTCCAGTCTGCTGCCCTCTTCCCAGGTGTGTGTCTTATACCCAGCGTGGGGCCAGTCAATCCCGGAACCCGGGTCCCCTGCCGTCCTGGCTTCGGCTTACGTAGTTCTTGTCACCCTGGTATCTTCCCCTCACCCCTTCTGAGGACTTTCTTGGGGACGGAGGATGTTCTGTTCATCCCTGAGCTGTCTGCACGCAGCTTGTGCCGGCACTTTGCACAGGTGTGTGACGGGCATCTGCGGGTGAGCAGACCGATTGCCAACCGGAGGGCCAGGACGATGACCCCTGGCCCTCACTCGGGCAGAGACGGGTTCCTGTGATCCTTTCGTTTTCTCTGATAAAGTTCTGCTTGATCTGCTTTATCACCGGTAACAGCGTAAAGTCACACCTGTGTGTCCACTGACTGACCCGTGTCTATGCCTTTCAGGGAGCCAGCTGTCAGTGGACAGGCGGCACCTCGTCCTGTCATCAGGGACACTGAGGATCTCGAGTGTCGCCCTCCACGACCAGGGCCAGTACGAGTGCCAGGCCGTCAATATCATCGGCTCCCAGAGGGTCTCAGCCCACCTGATGGTACAGCCCAGAGGTGCGTGGCCGGTGGTGCCTGCCTGGTGGTGCAAATAGTGACGTGACGGGACCGGCCTGGGCGCCAGCGTCCACGTCACTGCTAATTGTCAAGAGCTGGGGCGTCAGTCCCGAGCCCCTCTGGGTTTCCCACCACGGTCAGCGGCCTGTCTCTTGCCTTCCAGTCACCCCGGTGTTCGTCAGCATTCCCAGCGACGTGACGGTGGAGTCGGGCACCGACGTGCAGCTGCCGTGCAGCTCCCAGGGGGAGCCTGAGCCGGCCATCACCTGGAACAAGGTACCCGCTGTGCTCAGGGTGCCGTGCGGTGGCTGCCTGCACCCTTCCACAGCAGACGCCCACACTGCAAACCCGAGCTCAGAGGCTCCGTGGGTGACCTCAGTAATGAAACAGGATGAGACAGCCTCAGGACCATCTGCTCACGTCCTTCTCAGGGACAACAGCAAAGAAACCCTCTTGTTAGATCCCTGACTTTGCAATCAGCAGGGAAGGCTTTTCGTTGTCCCATTTCTCTGTTTTGTTTTTATTAATCCCCATAAAAACGTGTGGCGATGTTATACATATGAACAAGTGCTTAATCTGCGATGTCGGGAGGACGGGGTGGCAGGTGGCCCCGCGCAGCAGTTTCCTGGGAAGGAGCCGCAGGTGTGTGGCTGGTGAAGCCTCGGTGTCCTCAGCTGGGACATTGCTGTCCTTCCCGGGGTGGCTCACGCGTCAGTCTTGCCCGAGATAGTGCCAGGGCCCTTGTCCCTCTGTAGCCCGTGTCCTGCGGGGCTGCCTTTTGTGCCCTGTCCCAATCCTGGAAAGGCCCAGGAGCACGGTCTGTGCTCACGCCCTCTGGGTCTGTGCAGGCACGGGGGCCACGTGTGTCCCACTGAGTTGGTCCCGGAGACTTTGATTAAACATCCTCTTCAGTGCTGGGCGGGTCTGTGAGGCCCTGACAAGCGGCACCCCACCGCCCAGGAGAAAGAGCGTGTGCTGCCGAGTCTGACGCCCACTGTGATTTCTGCTGTTTTGCTCCAGGATGGGGTTCAGGTGACAGAAAGTGGGAAGTTCCACATCAGTCCCGAGGGATTCTTGACCATCCATGATGTGGGGACCGCGGACGCAGGCCGCTACGAGTGCGTGGCCCGGAACACGATCGGGCAGGCCTCGGTCAGCGTGGTGGTCAGCGTCAACGGTAAGACACCCAGACACCAGGGAGGGCTGGCGTTTGATGAGAACGAACAGTCCACCGGAGGAGACTTCTCGCTGGCGGCTACCTGCCGGGGGGACCGGCCCCCAGTGTGGCCTGAGTTAACCCCTCCCATGTGCAGTCGTGCTTTGGTGTTTCACGTTATAGCTGCATTTCCCCTGTCCTTTTGTGGGATGTCACGTGATTTTGAAAATTGAAAGTGTGATTTCCATCCTGCTTGGAAACAGCTTCTAGTGGAATTCGTGATAAAATAAGCTTTGGTGTGAGACACAGAAATAACATTTGGAGAAAGGGTGTCCTAAGTCTAAGTGATGTAGTGTCTAGACGTTATGAGTAACTTATACAGCATTTTTCTGGTGACGTGTGTTCATGCTTTCCTAGTTCCTGATGTCAGCCGAAACGGGGATCCGTTTGTAGCCACATCGATTGTGGAAGCCATTGCGACTGTTGACAGAGCTATAAACTCAACGCGGACACACCTGTTCGACAGGTACGTGGGGGGAGGACACGGAGCCTGGCCCTCACCGAACTCAGCTCTGGCTTCTTTCAAGGACACAGGCGATTCTAGCACACAGTGGGAGCCGTTCCGTCTGAAGAAAACTGTTACTTAGCAATCATAAGCAACGTTGGCGTCACTTTCCGGGGGTTAAGATAACACATCCTTTCCAAGTAGAGGCTGAACTATGCTTCACAAATGAAACATGTCTTAAAAATTTCAACTTGTTCCTTTGGCTTGTTACTAAACAGTTTGGCAAAAACAAAGTATTTCACAAGCCATTCGTGCATTTGTTCATGTTAGCAAGTCTCAGAGTGTTTTCTCTGCATGTGCTGAAATAGAGTGTCTACTTTCTCTGTTGACCTAATTAACGATTTGTTTTTAGTGTCTTTTGCTTTTGCTTTGTTGCCTTCCGCTGGGATGAGTAAGGTACGGTATGTCTCCCTATAGAAGAGAAGCTACAGAAACATTAAGCAGCAGTTATGTTTTGGGATCGAGTGACTTCTGTCCAGTGACTGTCCCTTGTCTCTTTCACCCTCAACTGCCAGCCGGCCATGCACCCCGAACGACCTGCTGGCCTTGTTCCGCTACCCGAGGGACCCGTACACCGTGGAGCAGGCACGCGCGGGCGAGATATTCGAGCGCACGCTGCAGCTCATCCAGGAGCACGTGCAGCACGGCCTCACGGTGGACCTCAACGGCACCGGTCAGTACCCAGGCCCCTCCCAGCCCCTCCTGAGCACGGGGCGGTGGCCTTCCAGGGACAGGTTCCAGCGTTCCTGTCCCACGGGTCTGTGTAGGACACAGGATGCACATGTGGGCTCTGAGCTAGAGCGGGTCTAATGGGGACCCACGGGGACACGAGGTGGGCTGTCCTTGCCCAGCGCCTTGACCGTTGGGTCCTCCGGGTTGAAAGGTGATCGAGGGAAGACTTTGCAGGATGACGCTGTGTCCACGCAGCTGTTAGAAGTGATGTTCATGGAGCTCCGGCCTCTGTAATGTCCCAGCACCTGGGACTGTGTGGGTGGCATGGGGTGACTGCCGCCCTGTCACGCTGCCCCGGCGCGTGGCGTTGCCACAAGTGAGAGCAGCCTCTGCCGCGCCAGGCGGTAGCTGTGCCCACATCACTGGGGTTGACGTGAGCAGAAGCCATCCCTGGGCAGTGCGGCGACGGCATGATGTGAAATTCTCCGCTTAATGCTTGTTCAGTGTTTTCTTGTCTCTGCTGAACGTCTTTTCCCGTCAGGACAAGGACATTCTCAGGAACTGACCATTATCCGTGAATATGACGCGTCAGGTGAGGGAGATGGGGAGAGAGCTGGGGTCGCTTCTCCCGTCTCGGGAGCTCGGTCCCTGTGCGGGCCGGTCCCCAGTCCTGCCACGTGTGGGGCCCGTCTGTGCTTGGCTCCCCGGGCGGCGAGCTGTGTGTGATGGTTCCTGTTTCCCCGTCTGCAGGGTGCTGGCCTGCTGGGGGGTTGGGGAGACGCATCGCCGTCCCCGCCGGTCTCCGGAGGACCCCCCGCCTCAGCTCGCAGGGGCACCCTGGGAGAAGTCAGAAGGCGTTCGTTCTGTCCAGTCTCTGTGGGGCACTTCCTGCTCGTCAGGCACAGGGCTGGCGCTGGGGATGCGTCGGGAGAGCTGGCTGTCCCTGTGGTGCCTCCCAGCCCCCGACTCCCGCCCCTGGTCCCCGGGGTGGCCCAGTGTTTGTTCTCGACGCTGCCTCCCCTCCTTCATTTGGTTTAAACATTGCGCCTCTTACCTTCCACTGCAGCTGCTCAGAGAAGAGGCCGTCTCCCCAGGCACCGCCCACCGGCTCCGTGTCCATGTTGTTTACAGACATGTGGACACTTGGAGAGACAAAGGACAAGTAGAATCACTCAAATCCCTCACAACCTGAGATAATTTTGTTTGCTTCTACTTAAAGTAGTTAAATAATGCACAGGCACCCACTCATGTGTTCGTGCATTCATTCCTTCCTTGCACACGCATGTGGGCGCATGTCTCTGCCAGACCTGGAGATGCAGCAGCCACAGACAGACACACCTCTGCCCTCAGAGGTCTGACGTGTCAGTGCAGATGGGCTGAGAAGGTGGGGACGGTGCATGCAGCCCCCAGGCGGTGAGCGGGGCAAGTCTGGTAGGCAGGAGGCCTGGGGAGTCCTGGGTGCCTGTGGGTGCCATTTTCTACAGGTTTTTCAGCAAATGTCACCAGGGTGGCACTTGAGCAGAGGCCTAGCCCTGCCACGTCTACCAGAGTAGCGCTCTGGGCAGGGGGGACGCAGGGTCCAGGCCACGTCTGGGATATTTGAGAAGGGCAGGCAGCCTACTTTGGCTGGAGCAGGAGATGAGACGGGACGTTTTCGGGGTCCTCTGTCAGAGGGTCCAGGAGGCAAGGTGAGGATTTTGTCCCCAGCTCTGGGTGACATTGGAGCTACGCGGTTCTTGCAGAGAAGTGATGTGATTTCACATGGATAGAGTTGTTGGGTGATGTCACCGTGAAGGGGTGGGGATAGATGCTGGAAACTGGGCAGGTGTCTGGAGTGATTTCGGAAGGAGGTGACTGCAGGGAGCCCAGGGTGTCCTGGTGAGAGGAGTGACTCTAGGTGTGGACGTGTAGGTGACAGATTCACTCATGACTCAGAGAGAGGACTCAGCATGACTTTTGCCCCAGTGGCCAGAAGGTAGGGGGCTGACCCTTAGTGAAAAGGTAGCAGATTGGGCCAGGACAGCTAGGGGCCGGGGAAGGACTGTCCTAGCTCTGGACGCGCACACAGATGTGCCCTTGAGATGTGTCCCGTGGGCCTGCCTGAGTCCTCATTCCACAAACCTGGGAGTGATGACTCGCCGTGGGGCAAAACTCCTGCTCACAGTGCTTCCCAGGCGTCTTTCTGCTGCGAAGCGTTCTTTGGGGCATGCGTTTCCTCACATTCCAGTATTTTAACCCATAGTTGCCTGTTTTCTGAGACAGTTTTAATTCCTAACGCGAACTAGAGTGAATGGGTCAGGGCAGCCTGCAAAGTTCCATTTTCCAGATGTCACCTCTGCATCTGCTTTTGTGGATGGGTTTGTATCTGCAGCACGTTATCAGTGAAACTGTAGGAAGCTCTGGTTCCTCAAAACAGAGCAGATGTGTCCAGTGTGTACAGGCGGTTGTGTCTGTGTCCACCCTCTGCTGGCCGGTGCCTGCCCTCTGCCCTCCAGTGGGGCCCCACCTGGGAAGGTGGTGGGAGGAACTGGCCCGCTGCACTCTGGCCCCAGTCCCTGCTAAACCCATGGAAACGCTGCAGAAAAAGGGGTGATGCGGGAAGAAGGCTCCTGGGGCCAGATGACGTTTGGGAGGCAGTGTTGTTCTTCCTGAGTCTGTGAGGTTCAAGACTGAGACTTTTCTGAGACTTCTCAAGAGTAACCGTGAACAGAGCCAGACACCCCCGTTGCGCAGTTCTGGTGGCTCGTGTGCTGCGGAAGAGCCCGGGTCTAAGAGAGCACGAACGCCCAGGTGGCCCGGGGCGCAGTGCCACACTCCTGGCAAAGTGCTTGGTTTTATTGCTTCTCACCAGCCTGTGGAATTTCTTCACGTCCAGTTCTGTACCTCATCCTATGTGGTTTCACACACGTCCCCACAAGAAGAGCGTGTGTCCTTCCAACACATGCAGATTGGTCTAGGAGCTCTCCTTTAGAAAGAACACAGCGTCAGGACTGAGAACCCAGTGTGTGGGCAGGGAATGGGTGAGGGTCAGCGCTGGCCCCTCTGTGAGCATGCCCATCAGCACGCACGCCCGTCAGCACACCCTGTGTCAGCGTGCGCCCCTGGCGTGTGTGGAGCTGTTTATTCTGCGAGTGTGGAGCAGGGAGCAGCCCCGGTGCAAGCGTGTTTGAGAAATGTCCCCAGAACACAGGCCGAGCACCGCGTGTCCTGGGAGGTGGAGTCGCTGGCTAGGCTGAGTAGGTCTTGAGTGAGGAAGGTCCGTTTGGAGCAGGCTGCCAGGCCGACCGCTCGGAGCTGCTTCTGTAGCTCGTGGGCAGACTGAGGTCGTGGGCAGGAAGCCGAGGTCATCAGAGGCGCATGGGGACCGTGGAGAGCACATCCCTGGCGGAGCCTTTTGGAATTCCAGGCAAGGCGACTTGAACAGCTGGCCAGGGTTATGGAATTCCAATGTGAGAGGGCACGGTCTTCAGGAACAATTTAAAAGCAAGATAAACGGAGGGCGGGAGGGCTTGGATGTGGGGACCACGTGGCACGAAGCCCCCAGGACGCGGGGTGGGAGTGGGGGACTGGACGGGATTCCAGGAACGGAGCTCCGCGTGGTGAGGCCGAGCTGCACGGGATCGTTAAATAGAAGCGGGACTGTGGTCAGGGCGCCGTGGACTCGGAGCGGGTTAGCTGTGCGGAGGTGGGTCCGGCGCAGGACGAGGAGCGGCCTTGGCGGGGCGCTCGGGGGGCGGGTGCTCTCAGGCTCAGGGGCGGCGCCGCCCGCGTGCGTGCGGGGAGTAAGCCGTCCTGCCCTCCCTTCCAGGTTACCACTACAATGACCTCGTGTCCCCGCAGTACCTGAGCCTCATCGCCAACCTGTCGGGCTGCACCGCGCACCGGCGCGTCAACAACTGCTCCGACATGTGCTTCCACCAGAAGTACCGCACCCACGACGGCACCTGCAACAACCTGCAGCACCCCATGTGGGGCGCCTCGCTGACCGCCTTCGAGCGCCTGCTGAAGTCCGTGTACGAGAACGGCTTCAACACCCCGCGCGGCGTCACCCCTGGGCGGCTGTACCACGGCCACGCGCTGCCGATGCCCCGCCTGGTGTCCACCACGCTGATCGGCACGGAGACCGTGACGCCGGACGAGCGCTTCACCCACATGCTCATGCAGTGGGGCCAGTTCCTGGACCACGACCTGGACTCCACGGTGGTGGCGCTGAGCCAGGCCCGCTTCTCGGACGGGCAGCACTGCAGCGCCGCGTGCAGCAACGACCCCCCGTGCTTCTCGCTGGCCGTGCCGCCCAACGACCCGCGCGTCCGCAACGGCGCGCGCTGCATGTTCTTCGTGCGCTCCAGCCCCGTGTGCGGCAGCGGCATGACCTCGCTGCTCATGAACTCCGTGTACCCGCGCGAGCAGATCAACCAGCTCACCTCCTACATCGACGCGTCCAACGTGTACGGCAGCTCGGAGCACGAGGCGCGCGCCGTGCGCGACCTGGCCGGCCAGCGCGGGCTGCTGCGCCAGGGCATCGTGCAGCGCTCGGGGAAGCCGCTGCTGCCCTTCGCCGCCGGGCCGCCCACCGAGTGCATGCGCGACGAGAACGAGAGCCCCATCCCCTGCTTCCTGGCCGGCGACCACCGCGCCAACGAGCAGCTGGGCCTGACCAGCATGCACACGCTGTGGTTCCGCGAGCACAACCGCGTGGCCGCCGAGCTGCTGGCGCTGAACCCGCACTGGGACGGCGACACCATCTACCACGAGGCCAGGAAGATCGTGGGCGCGCAGATGCAGCACATCACCTACCGGCACTGGCTGCCCAAGGTGCTGGGCGAGGCGGGCATGAAGATGCTGGGCGAGCACCGCGGCTACGAGCCCGGCGTCAACGCCGGCATCTTCAACGCCTTCGCCACGGCCGCCTTCCGCTTCGGCCACACGCTGGTCAACCCCGTGCTCTACCGGCTGGACGAGAACTTCCAGCCCATCGCGCAGGGCCACGTGCCGCTGCACAAGGCCTTCTTCTCGCCCTATCGCATCGTGAACGAGGGCGGCATCGACCCGCTGCTGCGCGGCCTGTTCGGCGTGGCCGGGAAGATGCGCGTCCCCTCCCAGCTGCTGAACTCCGAGCTCACCGAGCGCCTGTTCTCCATGGCGCACGCGGTGGCGCTGGACCTGGCCGCCATCAACATCCAGCGGGGCCGCGACCACGGCATCCCGCCCTACCACGAGTACCGCGTCTACTGCAACCTGTCGGCCGCCCACACCTTCGAGGACCTGAGAAACGAAATCAAGGATCCCGAGATCCGGGAGAAGCTCAGACGGTGAGTGGGAGGACATTTCGGGTGCGTGTTGTTGGTGAATGCCAGATGGGCGGAGAAGGACGCCGGGCGGGGCCGCGCTGGGGGCTCCGTGTCTGTGTGTCTGTGTGTCTGAGTGCGTGTGTGCAGCCAGGGCTCACACAGCAGCGGCCTGTGGACTGAGCAGGACCAGGGACGCCTTGGGGGCTGTGCTGTTCGGGCAGGCAGCCAGCAGGTGATTCCGGCCACATGTGCGGTGTTTTGAGTTGACAGAGGCGTGTGCTCGCCTGGCAGGGGCCTGGCAGGAGGGCACGGTGAAGGATTTGCAGGGGGAAATGCCAGAACCCAGGCCGTGTCTGCCTGGGGCTTCCGGACGTGACCCTGCTGTGGCGTCAGGCACGCCAGAGCTGGCCCAGTGCCACCTTGAGTCACCAGCTCCTAAGGCCGGGCTCACAGCCTCTCTCCAAACTCACCCATCCTGTTGCTCAGGCCCAGGCTGGTGTCCCGTCCCCAGGACCACTGCTGATGGCCTGAGGGACTCTGCAGGCATCAGCGGCGGCTTCAGTCTTTCCCGGGAGCAGATCTCCGAGGCCTGTGGTGCCGGAGGTGCGAGGACACGGCGGGGGAGGATCAGGCCTGAGGACCACTGGGGCAGCCCCTCCGCCCCGGGGTGCACATTCACACACACATCGCACTGCCTGCCCAGTGGACCCGGGCTGAGGTCCGGTCAGGGTTGGGCTCCCCACAGACACGCGTCTGCTCCCCTGGGTGGACCCTCTGTGGCCGCACCACTAGCTGGCTGTGAAGCTCCCCACAGCTCTCCTTCCCTCAGATGCCCCGTCTGCCCTCCGCTCTGCTCACTAACTTTTCGTGGTGTGGGCACCACTTGCTTCGACACGGGCTTTCGTGGAATGACCGTGGCCGGAGCTTTCCCTCACTCTCCCTGCGCTTAAGAATGGAGGCCACACGCAGGCCGCTGTGTGTTTAAGACACGTTCATTCACGTTTGAAGGAACTTTTTTAAAAAGAAAGCAAATGTTCTTCTAAGGACCCACTTAGCGTATTTTCTGGACTCTGCAGCTCACTGAAGAGTAAATTACTCCCACCTCGCACTGAATGCCGAAGTTAAGACGTGCTCCCGCTGGTGCCTGGCCTGTGTGTTCTAGAGAAAGCTGAGTTTTTACTTGTGATTTATGGCAAGTTAGGAAGCAATGAATGTTATGTCCTCCTAAGCTTCTCACGCCCAAAGTTCCTTTAAATCACGGGGATTGGATGGCTGCCATACGGCGCAGTGTGTGCTCCGTGGTGCTCGGCCTCTCCGCCACGGTTTTGCTTCATCGGGGTTTACGTGAACCGCCTGTTTTTCGTGTGCTTAAACACCCTCTTTTCTGGTCCAGACTGATGCGGATTGCGTCCCCAGCCATTTATCTCATCTGACAAACTTACTTCAAAGCGGCGGGCGAGCTGGCGCTCTGGCCTAGCGCTGCTGGCGGCTTGAGGGACCCGTGTGTCCTGAGCAGGCGGGGGAGGGGTGGGGAGAAGGTGTCCTGTCCCTTCCGGGACAAAGCTCCTTGCTTGTGTGTCTCCAATGCCTGGTCAGGTCTGGTGAGCCTGTGCCGGCGGATCCCTGGGGGGGCGGGTGGGGGGAGCAGAGGGGAGGACCCCACCCCGGAATGCTGTTTCCTTTGGGAAAAGCCCTCTCGCGGTCCCGTAGACCCGCTCTGAGCCTGCTCTGTCGGGGAGCCAGAAGGCTTGCAAGGCTCTTTCTGACCCTGCACCTGAGCTAGGAGTTCAGTGCGAACGTCTTTGAACTCTAAGGAAATGGCCGCAGCTTACCCGTGGAAGGGCATTGCCCGCATGCCGCTTGTCAGGTGATCGGCCCCGAGGTCAGGCCCCGCAGGCCTTGTCACTCGGTGCAGTGGCAGAGCCGGTCTCAGTACAGGGTGCATTTGAAAGGTCTTGGCGTGGCAGCTGGGTCGTTCTTTGGGAGTCATGGGAAGTCTGGCCCGAAACTGTCAGCTCTGTCCTTGAAAGTGAGTGTTTGTAAGGAATGGGAAGAGATCAATGAAAATGCTTGTTCTTGAGCGTTTAAACCCTGCTACCTCAGTTTTTTACACTATCCCTGCTTCCTAACCATTTTCTTGGTAGCAAATATGTTTCCAATGCATAGTAGATTCCCAGTATTATGCTTAAAAAAGTGTCTTTAGCCAAATATAGTTCATTGTTCATCTATAATTATGAAAAAAGGTGGGGAGCGTTCACACGTGTGATGACTCTGAACAGGAAGAAGAGGCGTGGTTTTGGTTTTCTTCCCCACTATTTTCTTGGCCTTTATAACAAATACACATATGTGTTTTATACATGTGTATGTAAATGGAAAGTAGGAGAAACTATTTAAAATTTAATGGATAGGCGCTTTAAAGAAACAAGGAGAGGGCTGGCCTGGTGGCTCCGCTGGTTAGAGCACGAGATCTGAGCAGCAGGCCGCCAGTTCGATTCCCACATGGGCCAGTGACGCTAGATTGAAAGCGGCGACTGGACGTGGAGCTGAGCTGCGCCCTCCTCAACTAAGACGGAAGGACAACAACTTGACTTGGAGCCGATGGGTCCTGGAAAAACACAATGTTCCCCCTCCCCAATTCCCCAACACTGTTCCCTTCCCCAATTCCCCGATAAAATCTTAAAAAAAAAAACAAGGATGAATTTTCTTTGTTAAGTGAAGGTCTGAATCACGTAAGATAATGATAGGAAGAAAGGAGGGCTTTCTCGGCATCTGCCGTGTGCTCCTCCAGAGAGCGTTGCTTCATAACCTTCAGGTGTCACTTTTCCTTGTAGGTTGTACGGGTCCCCGCTCAACATCGACCTGTTCCCCGCCCTCATGGTGGAAGACCTGGTTCCCGGCAGCCGCCTGGGCCCCACCTTGATGTGCCTGCTGAGCACACAGTTCAAGCGCCTACGAGATGGGGACAGGTAACCGCGGGCGCCCGGAGAGGATGATCTGTCCTGAACACACCTTTTTGGGGACCAAGGGACGAGAGGGGCCTTTGGTGGCGGCCCGGTGTCCATGCTAAGTGCTAAGCGTGCAGACATGGCTTTGCCCCTTGTAGTGTTGGTGACAATTCCCCACGTGCTGGGGCTTGCCTGTCACCGCAGCATCAGAACGAACCAGAGCCTGATTCGAAGGTGCTCGCGTGTCGCTTCCGTTTTTCAGACCATTCCTGTTCCTAGAAGTGGACAGTCCCTCTGGTGTCACCTCCGTGGGAGTTCCAAGGGCTGAGTGCTCAGGCTTGGTGCAGGGCTGCCGTTCGGTGTCACGTGGGGAGGTGGCCCTGCCTGTTAGGAAGCGCTCAGCAGGGGCTCCTGCAGGAGGGGCCGGCGGGGCCTGTCCATCAGGCACTGCCCTGAGTTCTTAGTCCGATTGTTGTTGGAGATGTGAGTGACATTGGTGACAGAGTGATAGAGGATGGCTTAGTTGGCCCCGTGGGGGCTGGCGCTCCGAGCTCTCTGACGCTGCGCCATCCGGGGACGTAGGTTGTGGTACGAGAACCCGGGACTGTTCTCCCCGGCCCAGCTGACGCAGATCAAGCAGACGTCCCTCGCCAGGATCCTGTGTGACAATTCCGACAACATCACGCGTGTGCAGAAGGATGTGTTCAGAGTGGCGGAGTTCCCCCACGGCTACGGCAGCTGTGACGACATCCCCAGGGTGGACCTGCGCGTGTGGCAGGACTGCTGTGAAGGTGGGCGCGAGACCCCCGCCCCCTGGTAGCGTGTGCCCTTGTTCACTGCCAGGGCCAGGGCGTCTCCACTCGAGTCTGGACGCTGTTGCCAGAGTGGGGACAGCGGGAGCCAGGTGGGCAGCTCTGCGGCTTGTCCGATGGTGGCGTGTCCACACTGAGGTACTCTGGGACCTCGCAGGAAGTCACGATTTTGAACAGTTTGCAGTGACGTGCGTAGCATTTAGTATGAAGGCTAAAATACCAAGTATAAGAAATAGAAAACAAGACCTTAATAGCTATTCTCCCAACTTTAAAAACTAACTGAAATCTGAATATAAGCACGTATATATGCACGTGTGTGTAGCCTGAATATCTGTACCCACAGATAAAAGATGAAAATGCAATTGTCCGGGTTAGGAAGATGGACACGTTTCCTCTTTTCAAACAAGTTCTGGGACAGCCCTGGACCCTGGAAGCACCTGGACTGCAGGGACTTAACCCCTCTGGGCCCGGCGCTGTCCCCTGGGTGTGAAGGGCGCTGGGGAGGTTTCAGCGGGTGATGGGACTCAGATACAGGCTTTCTGTGGGGACAGAGCTGTCCTGGTGTGGCGGCTCTGCTGCGTTTACACAGGTGTGTGGTGGGATGTGAGCTTGGCCCAGGTGAGTCGGAAGGTGACACAAGTCGCAGAGCACTTAGAGGGACTGCCTGTGGTTTCCGACATGGCGGTGGAGCTGGCCAGTCACGAGAAAGCCAGGACAGAAAGTGGCCTCAGTTCACGTGTCACATGCCTTTCTCGTGCTCGGGGGGACAGGGGACATCATTTGAAAAGGGCCCCATGTGGCCTTGGCCCCGTCCCCGGCCAGGCCCGTCCTGGGCTGTCCTGGGTGCATGCGATGGCACAGTGTGAAATGGGATTGATTGCTCGTGGGGTGCCCAGCGCAGAGCATCGGCCGTGGGGCGGGGCGCTCCATGTGTGGTGGGGACCAGGGCAGGGGGAGAGGTCGGGGTGTGCTGTGTGACCCGAGGAGGGTGTCCCGGGGGCCTGGCTGGACCCAGAGAGGCCGGACGAGGTCAGGAGGCAGAAGGACGCTGTCCGTGCGCCGGCTTGCATGTGGGCGACCAGGTGTGTGCAGCCTGGCCCCCGCAGGCCACGAAGCGTCCCCTTTTGTCTCAGGTGTGTGGGAAGACTTGCTTTTTCCCACGATGAACTTAGCCCTTGGCTGCTGACGTGCCCCTTTACGCTTCCTCTTTAGACTGCAGGACTAGGGGACAGTTCAACGCCTTCTCGTATCATTTCCGAGGCAAGCGGTCCCTCGACTTCAGCTACCGGGACGAGGCGCCCGCCATGAAAGCAGAGCCTGGGAGGACACTGAGGTATGGCTGTTCCCGAGGGTGAGACTGTCCGCACCGCCGTGCTGGCCGTGGGGCCCCGGGTGGGGACGTCCCGTGTGGCCACCCACACGGTCCCGGCCCCTGGACAAGCACAGGCACTGGGCGTGGTGTAAACATGCGTGATGACTCGCTGTGACACGCTGGGCCACGTTTGCCTCTCCCCATCCCCTCTGCACAGTGTTGGGGAGCAGAGCGAGCACCCCAGGAACGCCACGTCTGCCTCTTCTGAGCACCCACAGGTTCCGGGGGCCAGTGACTTCAGGGACTTTGTTCTGGAGATGCAGAAGACCATCACAGACCTCAGGAAACAGGTACCTGGCCCCGTCGCTTCCTTAGCACACCTTCCTGCAGACTAAAGACAGACTCATTGTCTGTCCTGAGGGTGTGGGCCCGCCTCCCACCCCCGACCCAGAGCCAGGACACGCCGCTCTGCGAGCCGGCTCTTCTCCATGGCTGTCTTGGTCCGGGACACACGGAGCTCCCTTGGTTTCCCGGTGATCGGGACCCTTGGCCGTGGCTGCCGCGTGGGTGGGCATAGGGCCCGGGACGCTGGCCGTGAGGGGCTGAGGACGAGGGCCCTGAAGGGGATTAGGAGCTCGGGTCCTCCTGAGGCCACTTCCTCAAGGGTGACTGCTGAGTGCTGATCCAAAGCGGGGTCCGAGGGGCTGTGCGGTCAGGCCGTCTGGACGTGGGGAAGGGCAGCTGCAGGACCACGGGCTCCCGGCTCTTCTCTGAGGGCTGTGGGTTTGGGGAAAATGAGCGTTCTCACGCCCCGCCCAGTGAAGTAGGTTCTTCCTTTCCCGGTTGGCACAAGGGTCCCAGGAAGGAGACCCTGCTGCCAGGAGCCACACACACCCAGGCTAAGGCACACACAGGGTGTCCTGGTGGCCCCGACCCGGGAGGCGGCACTATGTCCCGAGTGGGTCTGTGACGCCCACCCCAGGCCCCTGGGGCCGTGACGTATCTTTTGTGGGAGGTATTCTACGTTCTTCATTCATAGCCCCCCAGGGCCTGGGCCAGCGTCCCCTTGCCAAGTCCCCAGAAGGGCGGGTGGCATGTCCGCTGTTACTTGCGCAGTTCTGCTGCTCAGGACAGTTGTGGGGTGACCCTTGGCCTCTCGCTCACCTCTGGGCCCCCATGGGCAGGCTCAGCTCATCCTGACCGTCGCCGAGGCCCGTGGGGCCGAGCGTTGCTGCTGCTTCGGGCTTTCCACTGGGGCTGGGCCCGCCAGCAGGCTCCGAGGGGAGCTTCCCGCCCCCAGGGCCCCATGGCAGCATCGCTGCTGCTCCCTGCTTCCCGTGTTTGATCAGTGTGACTCTGGCGGCCACAGTGTCGGTGACTCACACACAAAGGTGACTCTCACTTTCAGCCGCATCGGAGACTGTCCGAATGCTGAGTCTCAGGGGACCGACGGCTGCGCAGTGGTCATTGCAGGCGCGCAGGGCGAGGTGGTTTTGAGCCCTGGCCAGTGTGATGTGTGGTCCTGGGAGGCTTGAGACCTTGCTGTTTGTGGCAGGCTGTGACACGGGACAAATGGAAGCCGCTTTAACTGAAATGGGCGTGCAGGGTGTGTTCGTGGCCACCCTCGTCCTTGATCAGCGAGGCACGTCACCTTCAGCCACACGTGCTTGCTTAGGGCACGTTAGAAGGACGGCCATGCAATGCGTCCTCTCTAGACCTCCTGTCATTCCTTGGGGTTCGGTTGCCTGTGACAAACCCAGGTGACAGTGGTTTTGAGGGGAAGTTTGCATTCCTTTCACGGAGGCCAGAGAGAGACAGGCTGGGGCTGTCGGACGCCCTACGTGCAGGGACCAGGACCTCCGTCAGCCAGTCGGTACCCCCGGCGAGGGGGACGAGGAACGGGCTGTCCACAAGCAGGGGAACACCCGCTGCTGGGGACTGGCAGCTGGTCACAGCCCCTCGTTCCTTTCAATATCTCAGGGCAGACGCTGCTGTCACCCGAGTGGCTCTTGCTCACAGTCCTATGGGCACATCTTCATTCGTGTCCATGGTTTTCTCCCATTTTTAGTAACCGTTGACCTTACTTTACAGTAGGCACCTCTGACGTCAGCTGAGGTAGCTTTCGGGTGAGGCTTCGGGACAGCCAGCCTTCAGCTGTCCAGTGAGTGCGCCAGCGACGCCATCAGGTCCTTTACAGATGGCCGTCTCCACTGTGCTCATGTCAGGCGTCATCCTGAGGGAGGACAGGTGTGACGCGGGCGTGACCTGGGGTGACCGAGCACGTTTTGGCTTCGCAGATCAAGAAACTGGAGGCCCGGCTCAGCCCGGGGGAGTGCACGGGCTCGGACGGCGACCCTCACGCCGATGGGGCCAGGTGGAGGCGGGACGCGTGCACCCTCTGTGAATGCCACGTGAGTAAGGGCGGTCAGGGACCCCGGGGTGACCTGCCCCTGGCCGGCCACGGGGTTCACACCGGCAAGGAGGGCTGGTCCTGCCAGGCAGCTCTGGCCTCCAGAGAAAGTGGGTGGACGGTGGATGGGGTCTGGTGCAGCCTGGCTGGGGCCACGCATGGCAGGGAACGGAGGGCTGGTCTGGGCACCTGCCGGGCAGCAGGGGGCGGGGCCTCTGGCAGAAGGGCGGGGTCTGCAGCTGTCACTTAGCCCAGAGACCCACAACGCTGTGGAAAAGCTCACTAAAGCCATCAGACCCCAGCACAGTGGGGACGAGCGGGCGGTGGGAGGGTGAACGGCCGGCCGGCCCGGAACTGACCGGTGTGGCGCCATGTCTGTCCAGGACGGGCAGGTCACCTGCTTCGTGGAAGCTTGCCAGCCTGCCGACTGCCCAGCGCCTGTGACAATCAGCGGAGCCTGCTGCCCGGTTTGCCCACAAGACGCCCCGGGAAAGAAGCCTTAAAGCCCCTCGGAGTGTCCTCTGAGGTCGCTGGCCGCTGCAGGACATGAAGGACTCGGGCGTCCCGGCCACGTCGCCGGGGCTGCCTCAGAAGCAGCGCCAGGGACACACGCAGACACGCCGTGGGAGCAGACACGAGTCCTAACTTCATGTTAGATCCTCAGGTTTTTATTTAATTTTTTTAATGAAAAGTCGGTGCTACTATTAAATTGCACAGTCAAATCATTTAGGCTCCTCACGTCATTTCCCCTGAAACCACGCTTTCTTCGCAACTGAGAATTTGCCCCGCTCGGGACTGAGACCAGGAGCTTGCAGACGTGTTACCTGCAGGTGGGTCCATGCCCGAACCACCAGGAGGCACAGAGAAAACCAGAGCTCAGCAAACGCAGCGTCTCTTAGGAGAGTGCCCGGCATAGCGCCTGATGGCATCACCCCGATGCTCTGCCACCGTCCCCACGCCCCACACACAGCAGACGTTCCTGCTGCTCGAGCGTGCTCACCCACGACGTCTGCGACCTGTCCACACGTGGCCGCACGAGCATCGAGCCACGTTTAGGAGCAGGCTTGGTTTCGTCCTGCCTGCGTGCGCCCACCCGCTGTGTGGCCCCGATGGGGGAGCCCCGCCGTGTGGCCGACGCCCGCTGCCCACTTGTCCTCGCCGCGCCAGCCCACAGACCACTCTAGGCCGCTCGCACCCACAGGGCTTCCTGGCCGGTTGCACGGTGAGCAACACACTATGGATTATTCTCCAACGGGAGGAATTCACATGCTGGGAACTTTCTGACTTCAGGCTGTGAGTGTGTTAAAGAAACAAAAATCAGTCTCTATACCTCACTTGTATTTTCTAACTGCGTGATGCTGTGTGAAATTTTGCCCATGTTTTAGGTGTTAGGTATGGCAGAAAAATCATTTCCATTCGGCAGAGGTTCATTCAGAATCCAGAGGAAAGCAACTTTCATACCTCATGGTCACTCTCTAACTGACCAAAAGCCTATTTGTTCTAAACACACAGTGGTCTTGTGTTCTGTGAAGCATGTTCCTGAACATACGTGTTCAGTCCCACAGATGTTTACTTGAGGGCCTACTGCGTGCTGGGCGCTGTGCTGTGCACAGGTGAGGGGAAGCCACGCTGGTGAGAATGACACGTGAAGACGTGGCCGGTGCTGGCACATGGGCAAGTCCACACCAGCTGTCACCGGGGCAAGTGGGACGCACATGTCCAGCAGTGCCCAGCGGGCAGCGGGCAGTGTCACGGCTGGGCCTCAGTCCAGTGTGGGCGCCCTTCCGGTGCTCTGCGGCAGGCAGCCCTGTGTCCGGGGGCTGTGAACACCCCGCTGGGAGAACGCTGCCCATGGGTTTATACACCGGCGGCTGATGTCTTACCCTCACGTCACTGCATGATGGACAAAAGCTGGCGTGTGTCATGGGGCGTGTGCTTTTGAAATACCAAGTTCAGTAATCAGATCTTGGAATCAATTTCTGTAAATAGGAAATGGAAAACTCTGTCTAAAAGCTCTATGGTCATGTAAACTGCCGGCTGCAAACAGCACGGGGTCTGGTCCCCCGAGTATCCAGGCGCCTTGGAGGTTTACCTGAGGTCTCGGTGCAGATGGCAGGTGCGGGCTCAGCCGTGGGGCTTGGGCCGGGGTCCAGGATCACGCTGTCTGCTGTCCGCTACAGGAGAGTCCTGCAGCTGCAGCGGGGTGTCTGCGGAACCAACACGTGAGCCTGGCGTGCAGTCACGTCGCAGTGGGCACGCTCAGCCCTGTCGGGGCCGTGACGAGGAGCCGTGTGCATGTTTCTCTCCTTCCCCAGCTGTTGCCGACAGCCCAGAGCCTTACAGTCACTGTAATCAGTATCTTGCCAAAGAAATGTTTGCACTGTGTAACGATGCCTTTCCGTTCCAATAAAGGGGCCATGTTTTCCAGTGGAGAATGGTGTCTTCTTTGCCCCGAAACCCATCCTCAGGGGAGCGCCTTCTTTGTCCAGTGAGATCAAAACGCGATAGGAAAGTAGACACTTCCTAGAAAGATCCTAAATGCATTTTGAACCTATTTGCTATGTAGAAACAATGTTTTCTGACAGAGTTTCAGGGAGTCACCTGATTTGCACAAGCTGAGTTTTCTGTAACGTTGCTTCCTGGTTTTGCCACGTCACATCACCACCCACAGCTGTAGCCACGACACCCTGGGGTCTTGGAGGTGGGGGAGCAGGACCGACCTCGGTAGTGACAGGGGTCGCCTGGCCCCTAAGCCGTCAGAGGCTCCAGTAGGTTTAAGGTTCAGCCTGTAATTGCAGGTGAGGACAAGTGGCCCCCCAAACACTAGGCCACCCGCAGGTCTGGGTGAACGGCAGGTCTGGGGGCGTCCGGCTGACACTCAGCCCGGCTGTTGGGCAGCCAGCCTGCCCCGTGGACCCAAGTGTGTCCCCACTCGTCCTGTCTCTGCAGAGGCGCCTCCCTGCCCGTGTGTCCTGTGGGTCGCCGTCCTGAGGCGCTCAGCGTCATAGTGACTGACAGCTCGGAACAGGCTCCATTCTCACGTCTTCAGGCGTTGAGCGTTAAGCCTCTGTGTGTGACGCCTTCAGATTGCGGACTTGCTTTCTTTTACATTTATGGTGACACATTGTCTCAAACTCAAAACCCTGGGGCATTGACAGGAGGGTGGCATGCTCGAGCTTGGAGGATTCTAGAAGCTCCAGTCGTGCCTGTTTCTGTGTTTGTTGAGAAGAGCTCGGTCTTATCTGCTGTTCCTGTGTCGGGGCTGCTTTGTTCAGAGGCCGTGTCTCCGAGGAAGGAATCGCAGCCCAGAGATCACCCCGTCCCCGTCGTCCTGCCTCTGGCAGCCCTACCTCATGTCCCTGACTTAACAGTGATCTTAAAGGAACGGCTTTTCCATCACGACCCTGAACGTCAGCCTGACGGCTCGTCTCCCGCGGCTCTGCCAGGAAGCTGCGCTTTTCACAAATAGCGTCGTTATTGCTGGGTTGGTTTTAGGAGGGCAGGGGTGTTGTGTGTCCCTTTGTCACGTGCAGTAACTCTTCACGTATCGAAATTGGTGTGGCTTTTCTTTTACAGAGATTTGGGGATGGGGAGGATTTCCATTATACCTTTCCTCTTCCGACATGGAGCATAAAAATAAGTATCATGGAAAATGTCATTCCCAGTGTTTTACCAAAACCAAGTCTCTCTCTAATGGTCAGTAACCCTCAGTTAGAAGCCCTGAACTTTGCAGCCGCTTGACTTCCTTGCCACACACGTTTCCAGTTTTCCGTATCCTTCCCGCGTGCAGACAGCTGTTCTGGTTACTTTGTCCTCAGTGAGCAAACGACGACCGGACATAGACAGAGCCACTGCTGAGGGACAGTCACGGTCCTCCAAGGGCGCTGCTGGGGACCCGTGTTTATGGTCCTCAGACCAACTCAGACGGGGCTGCTGCTGTCACTTACAGTGCTCATCCAGAGAGCCACAAGAAGGGAGTGGGACGCTACGCTCGCTGTGTCCCTGGGACGCCTGAGGGGGCTGTGGGTCTCGGCCCCCGACTTCGTAACCCCTCACCCCCAAAGTCAAGAGCTGCGGGACCCAAGGCTCAAACCCACTCCTGACACTGAGGTCAGAACTCTTTCATTTCACCAAACTTAGAGAGATGAAACACCTGCGTGGATTCCAGTGTTCCTTCCACCTGCACCCACTTTAGGGGCCGTTCCTCGGCTCGCTGAACGTCCCTCCCGGGAAGGCCAGCCCTGTACCTTCGGGAACCTGTCCCGGCTGTGTGACCTTCGCCAGCCACTCACCCTCCATCTGCTGTTGCTGTTTTCACTTGTAGCAGATGCTTGCACCCCTGCCCCGTGGGTGCCGCTCACACGCAGCGCCTGCCCGGGCCGAGGCTCAAACGATGTCACAGGACTTCTCTCTTTGCAGCCACCTCTGCGTGGCCTTGATTGGTTCTTAAAAGGATGACATGGTGGCGCATGTTTCATACAAACAAGAAAGGGAAGCCCTGACTTCCCTGTGCGGCCTGAACGTAGGCATCATGTTTCTATGAGAAACACCTTTGTTTTACCCACGTCTTGAAATTAGAGGCACGTGGCTGAGGCCAGCAAGGCGATTCTAAGGGGCAGAGCACCTGGGCCAGCTGGACCCTCCGGGCCCCCCAGCTGTGCCCCCGGCCCCCTTGTGCGCAGCTGAACTCCCGTGGCCTCCCAGGCGCCTCCCTGCCCCCGTGTCCGCGCGTCGCCTCATCCTTGGTCCTTGAACAATTCCTGTGCCTCTCGCTCTCCACCTCTGTCTCCACCTCTGTCCGTGGCGATCAGCCCACAGCTGTGCAGAGGGCAGGGCCCCCATCTGTGGTGCTCTGCTGCTCGCCGGTGACCGTGTCTCCCCTCCCGAGTGTAGCCCCACGTCCCAGCTAGACGGTGACGTCTTCACGGCCACGTGTCATTGGTGACCGTGAATTCCTAGGTGTTTGCAAACCAGCCTGGCCCTGCCCCCACGTTCACTGGTGCCGATGGTGCAGGGTGATCACAACAGAACCTTGACGTCTGTAAGTCACACACCTGAGGTGACCTGATTCCTGGCCATCTGCTCTCAGACCACACAGCTCCTCTGAGCCTCTAAAATGACTGGCCAGGTGGGAATTTTTTTGACATAAACACGGGAGTGTCAGTGGGAAAAAGATGAATGTCCGAGCTGCAGGCTGGCACCCCGTCCAGCCCGGTGCCCTGGATGCCCCTCCTGCAAAGAAAGAACAGGTCCGAGCCCCCAAGTCCCTGCAAGCCCTCAGGGTCCGAGGCCATGCAGCTCTGACCTCTGAGTCAGCGGGGACGCCCCAAAAGTGTTCTGTTCAGTGGACCCTGGGGGTAAATGCCCCCTCCCCCGTCCACGTGGAGGCGCTGCCGCCAGTTTCCTCCTGAGGACGGCGAGGAGGGTCAGGGCGGGTAGCTCTGGGCTCACCCCACATCCTCGCGCCCCGGTTCTGGAAAACAAGCACGGCGACGTCACCCACAGCTGTGGGTCCAGTGGTCAGCTCGCCTGCGGTCTGCGGGTGAGTCTGCTCCGTGACTCAGTGGTAACCACATGCACATGTGTCTGTTGTTAGCGTAACAGCCACTTAGCCTGGTCATGTATTAAGGTTTTTACCCTCCACCCTTTTCTCTCTGACCTCCCACCGCCTTTGACGTGACATCTGCTTTGTGGGCAGCAGTCAGTGCCTCACGAAACAAAGGTGCTTCCTCCTGACCTGTCCCAAGTGTGTCCCAAGGAAATCTGACTTCCTGGAATTATTACCAAATGTCACCTGTGCTCAGCCAAGCAGTACTGAGCTGAATTGTCCGTCAAGCAGGGGCAGATGTCTTTGGCCCCGTTGAGTTCTTCTGGAATCTTCCATCTGAGGCAGCTTGGCCTGCGGGCGCTGTCTGTTAGGAGGCCCTTCACCAGGGCTCCTAGGGGCTTGTGTTTGGCGCCAGTGGAAGCAGTTTGGGCTTAAAATCAGTCCTGGGACCACGGGTGCAGTTTGGGCCCATTTCTTCCTGGGCCTGTGTATCCCTCATCTCAGCAGGACCTCCCTCCCCGGGGTCCGGCCCACACGCCGCTTCTGGCCCGAGGCCTCATCCTTGGGATACAGCAGGAGCTGCTGCCCCCGAAGCCCCGGGAACCAAGCAAAAGGCCACTCGTCAGCCTCGGCCAAGCGGCTGGTACCCCAGAGGCCGCGCTTGCCGTCAGCCTGGTTTCATCCCCCACAGACAGTAAGTACCCACGCGCCCTGAGTGGCAGAAGCGTCAAGCCAGGCGAGGTCTGGGCTCCGTGCGGTGGTGCTGGCCGAAGGGGAAGGGAGTTGGAGAGGAAGTCTGTCCTCGTCCTAGCGGCAAGTAAGTGACTGTATCTCCGACCCGTCACGTCCCAGTCATGCCATCGTCTGACTCATGTGGCAGCTCTCAGAAAACTGCCCCCCCGCCCGTGTGGTCTGGGGCCTGGCGCCCCGGAGCAAAGGCAGGGACAGTGCTCAGAGGGGCATCCTGCCTTGAACAGCAGGCGCTGTCCTGGCCCAGATCCGACCGGCCAGACCCACTCACATGGCCCCGGCGCACTTGCCAGACAGGCCAGGACAGTTCCTCTTGTGCCAGCGGGCGCCCAGCCGTTTAATATGCCACCAAGCGCTGCTTTGCTTCCTCCAGATGTGCCACTTAGCCAGCCCCCCCCCCAAACCTGTCCCCTAGAGCCACACTCAGGCAGTCGGAGTGGACACCAGTCGACGCTCACGACACGTGGAAGCACTGCCCTCGCCAAGGCCACACACCGGGGGAAGGTTCACGTGCCCTGGCCGTGCGTCCACAGCATTTTCAAGTGAAAACCGTCTTTCCAGCCCCGGAGGTTCGGGAAAGTGGATTAAACGCTGCCAAGGACATTTCCCACAGGCTTAGATAACTGTTTTCTCCAGGTGTCTGCAGCACCGAGCTCCTTTCTGGAGAGGGTTTGCACGAGTCTGTGCTCGACACCGGAGGCTCGGGTGACAGCAAAGCGTGCGGAAGGCTCACGGCCCCCCCACCGGAGCGTCC